GTAATCGCGTGTTGGCTTTGCCACCTTCCTTACATTCTTTTTTTTTTCTACAATTTTCCACTGCTGGCGCCTCTTTTTTTTTTTTTTTTTTTTTTTTGGCTTTTTGCCATTTTTTTTTCTCTTTTTTTGTTGTATTTTCCTTTGTTGTGGATGTTTCCATTGTCTTTGCCTTTCTGTTTATCGATTTTCTTGCAAAAAAAACAAAGGAAAATGCATACAATCAGGGTATGGTAACACTGGCAGAAAATTCCAGATAAAATTTTATTACATTTTCTTGTTAAATTATGAGATTAGTTAACCGTTTAAAGATTAAAATCGGGTTATGTGTTTTTTTGGCAGCCACTTGGAACTATATACCTTAGATTATCGTTATCGTTATCGTTATCGCTAAAATCGAAGCTTGTTTTCGGCCTGAAGTGGTGTAATGGTGTGTGTCATGGGTTAATTGCCCTGGTCAGCTCTAATTATTGATTGGGTCGGAGTCGGTCATTAGCAGCTGGCGACTGAAGAGCCCGATAACAATAAACAAGCTGCCATTTTAATGGAAATATATATATATATATATATAGAAGATAATACCCCCCCTGGGTTAGACTCCTTTGTCTTTCGAGTCCTTGGCAAATATAGTTGGTGAAAATGTCCTGCGGCTAGTCCAAATGAAATGCAAATAGTTTGTAGATTCTCTAGCAACCACTTTCCCTTTTCTTCGCACTAATGACCCACAGATGGCGCTGTAGATGCTGTAGTGCAGGCAACAGCAGCAGCAACAGGCGGTGGAACAGTGGAAACCCCTGGGAATGAAACACCTACAAGTGGCTTGTCTTTTTTCAATTTATTTTTAGCTCTGTCTGTTGGTCTCTCTGTTCTAAATTTTTTTTTTTTTTTGCAATTTCACTTTCTATGGGGCACGGCGCATTTATTTATTTTTAGTTATATATTTTTTTTTTTTTTCAAATCAGTTCGATCTAGCCATTAGCCTAGACCCCAAAAAATAAAAAAACATAATAGAAACGAATGGGATTATATTGCGCTTTTTGGAAGCGACATTTCTGGAAACAAGAAGATCAATAATTCTGAAAATAGACCAAAAAAAAAAACCACATGCGCCTTGAGGCAATTACAACGTTAATACCACAACACGGAAAATGTGTGGAAAATACGGAAAATGTCAGGTCGCATTATTGACGACATGCAAGTTCAAGTCCAAGAACAACGTCTTGGGGTCTCCACCCAACTCATTTGGTATTCAAATTGAAGTTGGCACGTGGAACTTGCCCATAGACTTGGATCAATGGTTAGAAAGTCCGGGGAATACCCTTTCCACAAAGAGATATATAATAGAACCTGTTGTGGCATTATGTAACTGCATTATGCAAATGCAGTATCTAAACCTGATTAATGGAATGGCTTTACTTCTTATAACTAGTAGATATTATAGATATTCGGAGGGGTCTCAATGTCAAGTCGTATTCAAAAATAAAAACAAATGACGCAGTAAGGGGGGGTATCCCAGGTAAAATATCGACAAAATCGTCAGTCATGGGGTTAACCAAAGAAAGTTTATAAAACTTTCAGAAAGGGGCGGGGGGGACGGGGAGAGACTCCCAAGGACAGAAGACTTCGGGACACGTTTCGAGGAAACCTCAAACCTCAAGCCAGCGGACAGGATTCCTTCTTGGTTGCTTCCTAAGATGCTTTACTGTAGCTGGCTTTGTTGATTCCATCCCCCCCTAACCTAACTGGAGGTTTCGTTTTTCTTTCTTTTCTTTTCTTTCTTTTCTTTTCTTTCTTTATTATTATTTTTTTTTATTTTTTTTTCTGCATTGCATGACCTAACCAACTAAGCCAACAAACTGACCTAAGCACCCTCCGTAATTTCCAGCCACCGTACTCCTCCGCCTCATCGTCGTCGGAAACTGCTTTCAACCTGAAACCGTATACATACTGGCGGACAGACGGACATGCGGACAGGGGCTGTGGGGGTAGACTCATGCAATAATTGTGTTGTTGTTGTTGTTTTAACAGGGTTTGCCTTTGGTCTATTGCGCATTGTCTGCTTCTGACCACTGTTTAAATGGAAATACACAGAACAAAAAATATATATATATCCCTAAATAATAAATATAAAGCTACTAGGTACTTTGTTTTCAGTGCATAGTTAATATTGCATTTGTATATGTGAGTGTGTTTGTGTTTGTAGAGGGCGCTGTTGTGTTTACTGTTCTCCTATAAGTTTACCGTTGTTCTTCTGGCTTCTTCTTCTTCCTCCTGGTCTCCTGGCTTTCTTGTTTGGAGGTTCCATTTCATTTCAATTCATTTGGCCCAAAGGACACTCCTCTAATTTGCGATAATGTGTCGCTTTGCTTGTATAAACCCATCGAGGAATCCTGCTTTTGTCCTTTCATTATCCTTTTTCGATTTTGTTTAGTTGGCAAATAGTATTAGCAATGAATATCCCTCAATTTGCATCCATTTTGTTGGATTTTTTGCAGTTTTTAGTTGGATAAATGGTGAAAACATGAAAAAAGCATGCTTTTTTTCTTAAGGGAGCTGTTTTTGATATTTAACTACTTAATTGTGGTTTAAAATCGTACTCTGACTATTGTATTTAGTCGCTGCTTCAGGACTATTCGAGTTTTTAGATAAATAAATGGTTAAAATTTCAAAAAAGCATGCTTTTTCTTCTTGGAGAGCTGTTTTTTTCCACTAAGGCTTTAAATTTACTTACAAGACTACTTAATTATGGTTTCATATCATTGTCTGGCTTTTATGTCCTGTTTCTGATGCTCTAGCTTCAGGATTCTTCCAGTTTTTAGATGAATAAATAGTTAAAACGTGAAAAAAGCATGCTTTTTCTTCTTAAAGGAGCTGTTTTTGACGTTTAACTATTTAATTGTGGATTAAAACTGTTAAATTTAGTCGCAGATCCTGCAGTTGGAGGATTCTTTCAGTTTTTAGATGAATAAATTCATTAAAATTAAAAAAAGCATGCTTTTTCTTCTTGTTAAGCTGTTTTTGACAATTTAGGCCTTAAAATTGTTTAAAAAACTATTCAAATGTGAATTAAAATCCTCGTCTTGTAGTTATATCCAGTCCCTGATCCACCAACTTTAGGATTATCCGAGTTTTTAGAAGAATAAATGTATAAAACCCTAGAAAAGCATGCTTTTTCTTCTTGTGAAGCTGTTTTTTCTCAATTTAGGCCTTTAATTTATTTGAAAAACTATTTAAATATGGATTGAAATCCAAGTCTTATAGTTATACTTAGTCCCTGATCCTCCAGCTTTAGGATTATCCAAGTTTTTAGAAAAATAAATGTATAAAACCCTAGAAAAGCATGCTTTTTTTATCTTGGAGACCTGTTTTTGTCAATTTAGGCTTTAAATTTATTTGAAAAACTATTTAAATATGGATTGAAATCCAAGTCTGATACGTTATACCTAGTCCCTGATCCTTCAGCTTTAGGATTATCCAAGTTCTTAAAAGAATAATTGTATAAAACGTTAAAAAAGCATGCTTTTTCTAAATAAAAGCCGTTTTTTCCGTTGGGCTTTAATTTATTTTTACGACTATTTAATTTTGGGTTAATTTCGCTGTCTGACTTTTATATTTAGCAGTTCATCCTCCAGCTGGCTGGCTGGCTGTTTCAGGTTAAGCTGTTGCTTAATTTATATTTTTGTGCTTGTGTTTGATTTAACGCCCATCCACCCACCACCTCCGTCTTAACACCCTGCCTGATAAATGATGAATTATGACCCGAAACAATAGCAACAATGGAGCCTCAAAAATGCACATTGAGAAATATAAAAAAAATTCGTCTCACTTTTATTATTGTTTAATAATTTTATTTTGTTTTGTTCTGATAAAAAGCCATTTTAAAGTTCGGTGATAAGATTATGGCTTATATGGGGCCCTACTGCCGAAAACCCTCTTATCAGCAGCAGCACCCTCTCTCTTTCCTGCTTCTTGTTTCCTAAAATGCAGCTGTTTCGTTCTATCGCGTTTCACGATGCAGGTGTTTCATTTGCCAAGAGTTCCAAGCGTCACAAAGCGTCGACGCACTCTTCTTTGTTTCATTCCACATGTTCCCCCGCCGCCGTAAGCTTTCCTGACACAGAGGGCGCGCGTGTGTGAGCGTGTGTGTGCGTGCGTCAGCGATAATAATTTGGAATTGCCGCCTGGCTGGCTGCCCTCTCTCCTCTCTTCTCTCGTCCTCTCTGGCCGTTTCTTCTCTCCCGTTTCCCAAGCGTTTCAGCGGGCGTTTCTCTCGTGCCAGTTTCGGTTTCGTTTCCCAGTTTGTCGGCTTCTCAGTTCATTCGCGACTTCGAACTCGAACCCAAGCGAACACTCGCACTCGCGACTTCAAAGGCGGCCGCCGCACATGTTGCACGCTGAAAGAAAAAAAAATTCAAAAAAAATCCAACAGAAAGCCACCAAAAGCGCAGCAACAGCAACAAAAATAGCCAAAGCACGCAACACAAAAAAAAAATACAAATATTTCCATTTTTTTGAAAAATAATTCAAAAAATTGGCAGGAAAAACTCTCTCTCTTTTCTCTTATTTTTCTGCGTATGTGTGTGTGTGTAGGTTTAAAATTAAATTATTTTTGTTTTGCTTTTTTTTTTATTTATATTTTGGTTTATTTAAATTTGGTTTTTTTTTTCGTGTGTGATGGTCTAAAATTAGCAACAAAAAGTGTGTGTTTTAAAACAACATTGATTTTGATTTGAATGCTAAACAAAAAAAAACGCGAAAAAAATAAAAAGAATTGGAAAGAAAATTAAAAAAAAAACGAGAAAAAAAACCGGTATATAATTAATTTTTTTTAAATTTTATTTACGAGCAGGCAATGTGACTGAAAAGTAAAAAAAATTTTAAAAGGAAAAGTGAAGAAGTGAAGAAGATAATACTATATTTTTGACCAAAAAAAAATTAATAAACATTTTTGTGCCTTTGAGACACTGGAAAAAAAAACTTTCCTAAATAAACAATAATTTTAAATAAAAAAAAAAATACCCCTAGAGGTGTATTTAAAAAAAAATTGAATCCAAAACCTGATGGCAACAACAACAACGCAATCGGCAGCTGTTGCTGCACCGGCACTCAGTGCACTCCTGCCCACCACCAGCCATCGCTCCCAGTCCGAGTCCCAGTCCTCGAGCAGCAGGAGCAGCACAGCAAGCAGCAACAACAACAACAACACTAATAATAGCTCTACTAATAATACCGTTATAAGTCAACCGATTAAAATACCGTTAAGCGAAAGATTCTCATCACAAACATCAACGGGATCGGCAGATAGTGGGGTAATTGTTTCCAGTGCATCGCAACAGCAGTTGCAGCAACTGCAGTTACCGCCACCGCGCAGCAGTAGCGGTTCTCTGAGTTTGCCGCAAGCGCCACCTGGCGGCAAGTGGCGGCAAAAGAAACAACAACAACAGCTGCTTCTCAGCCAGGACAGTGGCATTGAGAATGGTGTGGCCACCAGCAGTAGTGGCAAGTCCGGCCAGATGGGAGGATCCGCCACGGGGGGATCCTCGAAGGGGAAGGAGAATGGCGGGAATGCCGGCAACAGCAGCAGCGAGAGTCTAGAGAGCGGCGGCGGGATCGGTGTGGCGCCGGAGAATCCCCCCAGGATCCGAGCAGCATCCGCCCTGGAGCTCTCCACATCCGCGGCGTCGAGTGGCGGCGGTGGCTCCAATATACTGCGCAGTCGGATCAAGTACAAGAGCACCAACAGCACTGGCACCCAGGGATTCGATGTCGAGGATCGCATCGATGAGGTGGATATCTGTGATGATGATGACGACGACGACGATGTGGAGGATGTGGATGATGAGGAGGACGATGGCGTCAATGTGGACGATGTGGAGGAGGCGGACAACCAGTCGGACAGTCAGTCAGGTATTATCATCAACCTCAAGAACAAACAAGAGGATCCCGGCAAGCCCGAAGGATCTGGCGACCAGGCAGGGGGCACCTCCCGGCTACCGCCTCCCGATCAGGCAGAACTGACCGTGGCCGCCGCCCTGGCACGTTGCCGCGATGCCAAATCCCTGGGCACCGATGGTCATATCTACTTTCCGCTGCTGAAGATCAGCGAGGATCCGCACATCGATGCCAAGCTGATCAACCGGAAGGATGGCCTGCAGGACACCATGTACTATCTGGACGAGTTCGGTAGCCCCAAGCTGCGCGAGAAGTTCGCCCGGAAACAGAAACAACTGCTGGCCAAGCAGCAGAAGCAGCTCCTCAAGCGGGAGAGGAGGAGCGAGGAGCAGCGCAAGAAGCGCAACACCACGGTGGCCTCCAATCTGGCCGCCAGTGGCGAAACCAAAGATGAACCCCACTGTGATAGCTCCACCATACGGAGCAAGCATAACTCAGTACCGCCCATTCGGATCCAGGAGCATCCCGACGATCATGATGATCATCTGGATGTCCATGTGGCCGAGGCCGAGGATGATGAGGCCGCCGATGGCCATGTGAAGATGCGTCGTCATAGCCACGACAATCACTACGATAGCCAGCAGAGCAGCCGGAGAACCATTGCTCAAGCTAACAACCATACCCGCCCCGCAAATCCCGACCAGGATCAGGATCAGGATCAGGATCAGGAGATTGAAGAAGGTGCCGAGCCGCTGTTGGAGGACCAGCGGGATGAGAGTCCCGACAATGTCAAGACTGCCAAGATGGCCCGCACCCAGTCCTGTGTCAGTTGGACCAAAGTGGTGCAAAAGTTTAAGAATATTTTAGGTAAAAGATAACCCTAAGTAATGCTCTATATAGGTCATCAAGAAGACCTTTAGTTGAGGTTCTATAATTATACCCTTGCGTAGAGGGTATTATATTGCTATAACTTGGGTGTTTGAGGAGTTAGAAAGTTGAGATTTTCTATAGAATCTTATTTTGGTGATATAATACCACATACTAAATTTCATTGGGATCGGTCGTCTATATCGTATAGCTGTCATATAGCTGATGGTTTGGAAGTGCTATAACCTGGGCGTTTGAAGAGTTAGGAAGCTGGTATTTTATATGGTTTCTATTTTTGACGAAATAATACCACATACCAAATTTCATAAGGATCGGACATCTATATCCCATAGCTTATATATAACTGATTGATCGGAAATGCTATAACTTGGGTGTTCAAAGAGTTACGAAGTTGAGATTTTATATGCTGTATATTTTTGACGAAATAATACCACATACCAAATTTCATAATGATCGGCCGACTATATCCTATAGCTGCCCTATAACTCTGGTATTTTTGTAGATAGAAGTTGGAGATTTTTAATTTGCTTTTATTATAAAATTCTCCTAAGGATCTGCCAACTATATCCTATATTTGCGATATAGACCCAATCTTAACTTCAAGGCTATATCAGCTTCCCTTTCTTGTTATATTATAGATCCATTAAACCCCATGATTCATAAAGACCTTGCTTAGACTTTCAATACTTCCTACTACAATCTACCATTATTTATAAAATTTATTAATATATTTATTTTCCCTTCTCTTCTAGGTAAGTGTTAATGAAAAACAACAACAAAAACAACAGAAAATTCCCAAAAAAAAACCCCCAAGTCTGTACCCTAGAGCCAGGGTACTTTGTAGGTCTATCGGGTGAGATTGTTCTATATAGCACATATACACACACACACACACACACACATCTATAGATAAGTATTATTATTATTATTTTTATATGACGATGGAAAATTTTTCACAGGCCATTGATAAAGTTGAGAAATATTTTCGCTGATCCGTCTGGGACTTGATGAGGTCTCCTCCATACTTCCCCTATATAGAGACAGAGATATCTTCTAGATGATATATGCCTATGTCGGTAGGGAAGGGGGGCGGGTCAATGATCGCTTGAGAATACAATTTTTCCGCAGTTAGCTTTGTCAGTCTTTTGTGATAAAAACAAAAGGGAAAATAATGCACTTGTATGAAGAGCGGAAATGTTCAGGGATATATAAACATGATATTAAGTATGATATTTTTTCCGTCATTTTCTATATATACATACATATATATATGTATGTATTTTGTTTTTTTTTATTGTTTTTGTCAGTTAATTGCCTTATAATGTTGCTCTGAAGCCTGCCTGCCTGCCTGCCCCTGCCACTCAGATAACAGAAAGTGGAATTTTCTCGACCATTAAATCTATATATTCTTCTTGGTATATATTCTTATATAGAATATGTAAATATCTGTTGTTGCATTTGGGCTTTGATAAGCCATGGGGGGGCAATTACACTTTATGAGTGTGGTTGTGAGAGGTTTAAAATGGGTTTTCTAGAAAAATATGGTCATAAAATAGAAGGCAGTGATTTGGAGGTTAGGAAAGAGGACTTACGGGCAGAACTAGTTGGGAATTGTAAACAGAAGATGAAGGATATTTGCACATATATTATAAATATTTAGTTTAATGACTTTAATGTTAAAACTTTTTATTAAAATGGAAGTAATACCTCTTTTTGAAACCCAGAGCTAGGCCCCTTAATAGTCATAAGATGGAGGGCAGTGATTTGTAGGTTAAGAACGAGGATTTACAGGTAGAATCAGTTGAGAATTATAACCAAAAAAAATGAAAGATATTGGATATTAGATCAAAGTCTTCTGCCTATTAACCTTTTTTGTTAGTAAAGCTCTCTTTCTTAACCCCAACTAGTTCCTCTCAGTAGTCATTATAAGATATAGAGCTACTTTGTAGGTTAACAAAGACCATTTTCATACAGAACAAGTTGAGAATTAAAACCAAAAGATGCCATAATTAGATATTTGTTTATAACTATGATTCCTATTGCTTTTTTTGGATTTATTAAAGACTCGACGTAGCTGAAAATATTAGAAGTTAAATTTCAAATATTATCAACTATGTCAACTATGAAAATCCATTTGCCAACTGATAGTCCCTTTACAGACAGAACCAATTGGGAATTACAAGCCAAAGATGAAGGACAATCCATAAGAGATCTTAAATGGAAGAATGGAAGAATCTCTGTCTTGAAATTCCCAACAAGATAGTTATTTGATATATTTTTGTTATTATTTTAATTAGGTAACCCCTTTTAGACACTTGGACTAGAATCGTTACTTAGTTACTTAAGAACTAGTTATGATTTATTTATAGAATTGTTTGTCAACAACCTGGTTACAGCCTCTCTCTCTGACTCTGACTCTGACGGGTTATATCACTTAGGATTCTAGTACCCATGGAGTGGGCGCTTAGCGTAGCGTTAACATTACAGTGTGAAATATAACAATACCGTTATAATACCATATATATATATATAGGTATATATATATATACCTTTGGTGGTAGAAGTTTTTGAGATTTAAAAGCCAGTTCCCATCCGGCCGAGTCATATAAAATGATTTGCGACTTTGCCAGATGCTGACTGATAAGAAAAAACCCACTGATAAGCATTACACTGAGAGAAATTAATGATGATTTATATTATGACTAGAAGTATTTAATATAAATATTTTCTTCCGGTGTAGAATCGAAAGCTAATGCCGCCTGCATGATCAGAGATCAAGAAGCACGCGGCTCTCCATGCGATTATATATATATTCCTCCCCTCTATATAGTATATATACCCCGGCGAACTTTTGGGGTCTCGAGGGGAGTTTGGTGGGGGGAAGAGGAGGGGGGTAGAACCAAAGATTACCCTTAGTTGTTGTTGTTGTTGTTTTTTTTCGACAATCACGCGCTCGTCTCATAAAACGGATGACAGAGAGTTTTTTTTGTCCAAAAATATCATGCATATATATATGTATATATGTTTATATATTCTTTAAAAATATATATAATTATATATACACATCAGTCGCAACTAAATTTGTGACCAAATGGAGGCTTGTCTCTCCACTTTTTTTTTGTTTTTTTTGTGACTTTTGCTGGCACTGCCTCTTGTTTTTTTTTGCATTTATTTTTTAATGGTCCCCTCCCCTTTTACCCTGCCCTGCCTCACTGCTATTGATTTGAATATTCAAAAGGCAAAAAAAAACAGAAAAAACAGAAATATATGTTGTTTTAATGCCACAGTTTGCTGGGGGGGAGGTTATAGAAAGATAACAAAAATATACAGAAAGAAATGTTACCAAAAAAATAATATATATATATATATATATATATATATATATTTTATTAAAAGTTTATAAATTAAAGCAAATTATATATAATTTTTTATTCTTTTTATTTTTTTATTTCTTTAGTTTTTCTTTTACATTATTTTTTTCTCTGTGTAGCATTTCATGGGTGGGTTGACAACAGCAGCTGTTCTGCATCTCCCCCCTCCTAGCAGCGTTCTATTTTTCTATATATTTTTCACAGCCTCAGCTGTTGTCTTTATTTTTTCATTATTTTTTTTATGGTGTTTTTTTTTATTTTTTATTTGTTTTTAATTTGTGCCAATGGCAATGGTTAGTTTGTAGATTGTAGATTTTAATCTCTTAACCGATTAGTTTATTTTTAAAACCTAATCGTATGATTTAATTTTAAATAGTTTCCACCCCCCTTCCACCTTTGTTTTTATTTTATTTATTTTTATTAATTTTGTTATTTTTCTTCTTTTCGCACATAAACCAGTAATTCTTATTTGATCAGCTGCTATATCCTACCGCCCCCCCCCCCTTAGCTTTTCTCTCTTCGAGTAACTAGTTTTCACTCTCGCTCTCTCTCTCACTCTCTCTTTGACTTTTATCGATTTCTCTTTGTGCGCTCGGTTAGTTGGCTTCTTGACAGCGCCAGCCCGAAAGTATGCCACGAAAAATGTTGCCCCTCTAGGATACTAATGATTATAAATGATGAGGCTGAATGTTAATTGGGTTTGGCCACCGCCTGCCTGCCAAATGCCTCAGGTGCACTTTGTGGGGCATCTCGTGATCTCCGCCCGCGTGGTGTCGTCATCTCTCCATCTCTTTCGCCCCGCCCCGTCACACGGTCTACCTCTCCCACTCACTCGCTCGCCCACTCTATTTTTTTTCTCCGATTCTATAGCTTTTTTCTCACGATTTCTGATCGACAGTTTGTAAGATAGCCAGAACAAAAAATACAAAAAAAAAAAATAAGATCGAAAAAAATAAGCTATTAAAAAAAAAAAATGGCATTGAAAATAGATTAGTTTTTTTTTTTATTTTTATTTCTATGAAATTGATACAATTTATTTATTGCTTGGTGGTGGGGGGATGGTGGGGAGGAAGAGTTATGTAAGGTTTTTAAGAGAGTTTTAGATAAAGTTTACCCTTTTAAAGCCTTTTTCATCTATAATGTTTTATTAATTATATTTATTATACTTTTCTTCTATGTAATGGTACTATATAATCGCACATATAGTTGCCAGGGTATATAAGCATACGTACCTTCTACCACAACCCAATTCTTCTATAATTTCCAATTCAAAACCCCTTTGTTTACAAAATAATAAATCTAAAAATGTAAACCCTCATATTTCCGTGGCCTACTTTTATGGGCGCTTCGAAGTGTATTGGTAATGAAAAGCATAATTTTACCGTTTGTTTGCCTATAAGAACATGGCTGATGAGCTTTTACTTTGGTGGCAATTTAATAAAAATATAAAAAAAAAATTTTAATTAAAAAACAGCGCCCTCCTCCTCGATTCTCATAGGTGGCAGCTAAGCAGGCCTGAAAAGTCGGGAAATTAGTTGTTTTTTTATGTGATTTTTTTTTTTTGTGTTTTTTTTTTTGTGTTTTTTTTTTCTGTGATTTTTATTGTGATTTTTGTTGTTGTAATTTTTAATAAACAGCGCCCTCCTCCTCGATTCTCAAAGGTGGCACTTAAGGAGGCCTTCTGGAGAATCCTGAACAGGTCTATTGTTTGCTGTTGTTGTAATTTGTGGTTGTTGTAATTTGTGGTTGTTGTAATTTGTGGTTGTTGTAATTTGTGGGTGTTGTAATGTTTTGTTGTTGTAATTTTTTTTGTTGTAATTTTTTTGTTGTAATTTTTTTTATGTAAAATTTTTTTATGTAATTTTTTTTTGTGTAAAATTTTGTTTTCTTCTTTTAAGTCGAAGGGTTAGTCAATTTCCCACTAACCTCAGAGGTCTGTTTATATGACCTATCATATATTAGTATGTGATTACCATCGTATAACTATCGTATAGGATCATTGTCTCATAGTAAAGACCCTTGCAGTATAGGAGACATTGCCGACCCTATAAAGAAGATACAATTATTATAACTATATATCAGCTAACTATAACTATATATATAAAATTAATATTTAATATCAGCAATACCTATTGAATCGAAATAAGCCCTTTTTGTATAGGTCTTAAATATTTTGTTCATTGAAGTTTTTCTAAAACTATTATCCTATATTATAATAAAGATATATATAAATATATCTCCTTACATTTTCAATGAAAAATCCTTCTCAAAATCTATCTTAAACTTACTCTTAAATTTACTTTAAAAATAAACCTTTTGAATCTTGATTGTGGCATCGATTTTCTTTTGAATTTCATGCCTAATGGCCCAAAATAGTCTTGTTTTCCTCCAAATGTATGCAAATTCTTATCGAAAGGGTTCTCTATTTTGTGGTTGTGGTGGGCGTGCCAGGCTCACTGGTCTCGGTATGGGCGTGGTCTTGTTTAATTTTAGCCTCCAGAGTTTTGTTAATTTGCTTCTGACACGAGTCCTGTGGGTGATTCGATGTCTATTGGTGGGGCTATAGAGGAGGTAGAGGAGGTGGTTCTATAGAGGAGGTGGTTCTATAGAGGAGGTGGTTCTAGTCTGGGTGGTTCTGATAGTTTTGTTTGATTGTTTCGGCCACGGTCTCTCCTGCCTCTAAACCTGCCTCTGTCTGTGCGGTTCTGGTTTCCTTTCAGTTCTGCTCCGTTTACTAGCTCCTTTTACTAGCTCCTCCTCTTTTAGTTTTTTTTTTTTTTTTGCTGCGTCATTCCATTTTGCATGTCAGCCACCCAACCACCCAACCACCTCCCAACCACCCACCGCCCTCTTTTTTTGTTTTTTTTTTTGCAGCAAAGTGGTGCCAACTGCTTGTATATCGATTAGTTTCCGTCCGACGTTGGCGGCTAAACAAATTGCTTTCCCATTTCGACAGCTCCAACTGTTTTTTCCAACCACGCCCATTGCCCACCGCCCACTCTCTCATACCACTAATTAGTATTATTATTTATCTGAAAAATAAAATTCATTCCAATGTCAATGCCAACCTTAGTCACTTGACCTGCTCTTTTGCCCAAAAATTTAGTCATTTTTTTTAATTGATTCATTAAATTAAAAATAAATAGCAAGAAATATTGTTGTTTCTTCAGCTTTCTTCTGCGTGTATATCCTTTTGATTCTTGGATTCTCTTCTTCATTGAACTGTCAGTTGTCTGTCGTACGTAGCAGGGGGAGGGCGGGGGCTGCTGGCGTTTGAAAGGGGGCGTGGCTGTCGCATGCTTCACCACGCTTGACTGCAGCCGCTGTCTTCTGGCTGTCTCTTCTACGGTCTTCTGGCCCCCGAATTCTTCGGCTGGCCTCGTCTTATCTTTCTTGGCCCGCTGGCGATCGCCATCAAATATGCCTGCAATTAAAAATTTTTGCATTATTATAAAAATAAAAAAAAAAAAACTTATAAATAAAATAAATCTTCTTCCAATTAAATCTTAATTTTAAAATAAAAAAACAAGGAAGATTCTTTTTTTTCCAAAGAGGATCGATCCTATCCTGTTGTGTGTGTGGATCGTATGTGGATGGCATCGGTTGGGCGAGAAGAATCGTGTGGATCTTCGGGGAATTGGCTTGGTGGATTCTTCAAAAATTTGGCCAATTGTGCAACGGAAGCTCGAGCGATCGGTTCGCCAAAGCGGAGAGCTATTTTTTACTCTCTTAAAAATAAAAAAAAAATAGAAAAAAAACCGAAGAACTCGTGCTATTTTTTATTCTTTTTTTTTTTCGCTGTGCTGTGATATTTTATTTTTTTTTTTTAGTTACCAAGTGTTTGCATTTTTTTTTGATTTTTTTTTTTTTCTTGCTATTTGAAGATCGATCGATCGATTGATCTGAACGAGACGTCAAGTGCCCGAAAATAAAACTAGGCCAAAGCCTGCAAGGCAGCAAGGCAGAAGCACCAGCAGCCAATCACCACCCTTCCCCCCTCCCCCTAGACACCCAGACACCTAGACACCCCAAAACCATCCCTCGAAACCCCACTTGGATCGGCCTATAGATCAGCCTTAAGTCAAGGTGGATAAGTCACAGGTAGCGCCCCGGAGCGGGGTGCGGAAAGTGGTGCGGGTGGTGCGCAAGAAGAAGGTGCGACCCGGCGGCGGCTCCATTAATGATGCCAGCGAATCGGACACCACCACCACCACCACCACAACGAATTCCGGCAGGCAGAACTCTATAGATTCCATACCAGGTGGCAGTGGCACCACCAAGCCACCGCCTAAAACCAAGAAGGGTGGAGGAGCAGTAGCACCACCACCGCCCATACCCCTGGCCCTGCTGGGCAAGAAGAAGAAGGCGAAACGTCGATCCTCCAGCGAGGAGAGCGAGGATAGCAGCTCGGAGAGCGAATCCCGATCGACGGGCAATTCCAGTGACTCGGAATCGGACAGTGACTCCAACGAGAGCAGCGACAGTGGCAGCAGCAGTAGTGGCAGCTCTAGCAGCAGTGCCACCAGTGACTCCTCCCCAGAGCGGCGCAAGGCCAACGGTCGGCAGCATCATCACAAGCCACTGTCGGCGGCAGCCAAGGCGGCCCAGTCCACCTGCTCCTCCTCGCTGGCGGCCCTCAAGAAGACCACCAAGCCATCGTCGTCCTCGGCGGCGGCAGCGGGGGCATCGGCGAGTCACAGGACGTCGATCAGTGGCAGTGGCGCCAATCTGGCCGCCTCCTCCTCCAGCACTGGCGGCGGCAAGCAGTACAAGGATCCAAGTACAGAGATGATAGACCCCTCCTCCTCCCTTATAGTCCACCTCATCCTCCTCCTCTTGTGACTTTTGTGATCCAATCAAACAGATGCTAGCAGATGCAGGGCCCTCGTCATGATTCTCATGATCATCCCCAGATCCATTTTGGCGTCCAATGCCAAAATTAATTAGCAAGAAATCGTGGCTAGAATTTTATATAATCCACAACGCGAGGAGGGTCTTGACTCTGGCTATGTCTGAATCCATCTCCTCCATGTAGAGTCCTTATTTGGCTATGGCTATATCCTATATATATATCCTTAATGGCAGGCATGAAGCAACTGATTGGCAAACTGAATGACCTTTGGCCCGAGCATAGTGTTGCTTTATCCATTCCAAAGGAGGTCGATAGAAGCAAAGAGAAGCTGGAGGGAGCCTGGGAGACAACAGGTTGGGGTTTTTAAAGGGTTAACCGATATATACATATGTGTGTGCTATATAGAACTTAGGTACTATCTAGGTACTAATCCTTACTAATCAATATATTAAATTTTTATTTATATAGGCCGCGATGGTTCCAAAATTACAACAGTTGTTGCAACACCCGGCCAAGGCACCGATCGTGTACAAGAGGTCTCCTATACAGACACAAAGGTCATCGGCAATGGCAGCTTTGGCGTTGTATTCCAGGCCAAGCTCTGCGACACTGGCGAACTGGTGGCAATCAAAAAAGTTTTACAAGACAGACGATTTAAGGTAATTATCTATATAAGATATATCTTCCATATATAATATATAATATCATCTTTTTTTTATAGAATCGCGAATTGCAAATTATGCGCAAATTGGAGCATTGTAATATTGTAAAGCTTTTGTACTTTTTCTATTCGAGTGGTGAAAAGGTAAGGTTTCTAAATTTCAAAAAAAAAAATATATATTATCAAGAATTAGGGTGTATAATTCAACTGGTGAAGTTGCCAGCAAAAAATAGTATTATTAACTAATCGGATAACTTTCTCTTCAAAAAAAATAAGATGGCCGAGTTCCCCATCGATTTGGGCATTTTTGCCAGTGTACTCAAGCCACAGGTATCTCTCCAAGAACTCCAACAGACTTCAGTTTCAGTTTCAGAATCAGCTTCAGCTTCAAACTTCAGTTCATAATTCAGATATTCAGATAGAGATATTATATCTTTCCAAGATCGATTCTATATCTATCTCTCATTTCTTTGAATCCTTAATGCTATTGAAAGTACAGAGACAGTACTGAGTGCCTTAAAAACGCATGGTATTTTGAATTCACGTCCACGTCCTGTGATCCTGTGATGCTGTGATGCTGTGATCCTTTGATCCTTTGATCCTCCTATGGCTATGCTAGATAGTTTGCTAGATATTCGATATTCGTATGTGCGGCCTTTAGCATGTTTTTGAGATCAAAAAGCTCGCAACTTCATCGGTCGATACCCCCTACTTTTCACTCACATTTCTTACATTGTTTTTTCCATTAATTTCTTAAATTTAAAAATCTTAAATAAATACTAATTAAATAATATTCTTTTCTAATTAATAGCGTGATGAAGTATTTTTGAATTTAGTCCTCGAATATATACCAGAAACCGTATACAAAGTGGCTCGCCAATATGCCAAAACTAAGCAAACGATACCAATCAACTTTATTCGGGTAAGTATTTCTATTATAATTATTTTTTATATTTTATATTAATATATTATTATATTATTTATAGCTCTATATGTACCAACTGTTTAGAAGTTTGGCCTACATCCATTCGCTGGGCATTTGCCACCGTGATATCAAGCCGCAGAATCTTCTGCTCGATCCGGAGACGGCCGTACTGAAGCTCTGTGACTTTGGCAGCGCCAAGCAGCTACTCCACGGCGAGCCGAATGTCTCGTACATCTGCTCCCGCTATTACCGCGCCCCAGAGCTCATTTTCGGGGCCATAAATTATACCACAAAAATCGGTATATTAAATTTTGACTTTTTTTTAAATTAAATATATTAAATATCTATATTTTTTGTAGATGTGTGGAGTGCCGGTTGCGTTTTGGCTGAGCTATTGCTGGGCCAGCCCATCTTCCCCGGCGATTCCGGTGTCGATCAGCTCGTCGAGGTCATCAAGGTCTTGGGCACACCGACAAGAGAACAGATACGCGAAATGAATCCAAACTATACGGAATTCAAGTTTCCACAAATTAAGAGTCATCCGTGGCAGAAAGTAAGCTTTGCTTTTAGGACTCTCCAGACTCTCCTGCCCTTGTGTCCTGCCCACCTTGCCTTCTTCGCTAATGTTACTCGTCATAAGATGTGGGGTCTCACCACATTATTATTACCCCTCTTCAATGTCACTTATCCTAAAAATGCCGACTTTTGTTCTTTTAATTTTTTTAACTTAAACTCTGTGTGTACATAAATACTCGTTGCAGTCACTACTCGAACGCACCCAATTTCCAAACGCCCTAAACCAGAAACAGCGATGGAGAGTAAGCCACGAAAATAATCGAAACAGAAAACAGCAAAAGTTCTAAATTATTTCGAGAAAGTCAAGATTGCTCCCATAATGCCTTTAAATGCAGACATTATTAATAAATCATGGCATGAAGATAGCATTTTTCATCAAACTAGGGTTATAGGAAAGATATTCTATCGATATATGTCGATTTTATGATAGAGGTCTATAGTTATGCCAATGTCTATTGAAAGACGTAAAGAAAATTTCAAAATAGGGATGATTTCCAAGTCAAGTTATTATTTTAATCGATATTTATCGATTTATTATGATCAAAGTCTAGATTAATGTCGATATCCATCGAAGATCATGAGGAAAATCGCTACCGATTTTTGGATATATCGCTACCGCTATAGACTTTGAATATTTATCTGAAATAATGGCCTTTTTCAGGCTTAGCTTGATCCATATCGATATTAATCGATAGTTATGAAGAGAAATAGTAGTAGAATCACTACAGGCATTAAAATGTTAACTGAAATCCTTGCTTGTTTCAAGATTTACTGCATCATTATCGATATTTATCGAAAGTCATGAAGAATCCTGAATATCATCGATATAACTTAAAATTCAAGAATGTGAAAGACTCTAAAGCAGAGGTCGGCACGGCCCTATCTCGGGGGCATAGGAAATTTCTCTGCCCGAGCTCTGCCACACACACACAGTATAAATGTGTGAAACGTCATGCTCACAGCCTACTTTCTGCTATTCGTTACTAACACTAATGCGGTAAAATCATATCAATGTATTGGGGTGCCGACCACTGCTCTAAAGTAAGAAAAGGACTTAAGGAAAGACTTTAGACTATATAAATTGATATATCATTATCAAGTTCCATACTCATATCGATATTTATCGATAGCCAAAGAGAAAAATCTACTAAAGTAGCATTACTACGAAAAGGCCTTGAAATTTCAACTGAAATCCTTGCTTTGTTCATTCTTAGGACGATTGTAATCGATATCTATCGATAGAAACGATAATAGAAGCTAAAAATGAAGAATAGGAAAGTCTCTAAAATAGTTTCTAACTAGAGGCCTTGAAATTTCAACGGAAATCCTTGCTTCTTTCATGATCAGCTTTTTTTGCCAGTACTCCCCAGCTGTACAGGATTGTTATTATTGATTAAATGATTGATTTATTGATTAAATGATTGATTTATTGATTGATTGATTAGTTTATTGGTTTATTGTTGTTTTGTTTCTTGCCCCCGTTTACTGCCAACGTTTGTTTTCATTTATGAAAGGACTAAGGGCTCAAGTTCAAGAACCAAACCCTTTTCATAGAGTCCTTCAGCCATTTAGGAAATATCCTTGTAATTATAAAAGCTTCCCTTGTGTTTATCTCACTTGTAAGCTAGTCCTGTTTGTCTCTGTCCCGTCCCGCCAGTTGCTCCTTCTACTACTCCTCCTCTGCTAGACCATTTTACTAATCCTTTTGATGTCCTTGTAGGTTTTCCGTATACGCACTCCGACAGAAGCTATCAACTTGGTGTCCCTGCTGCTCGAGTATACGCCCAGCGCCCGGATCACACCGCTCAAGGCCTGTGCACATCCGTTCTTTGACGAGCTCCGCATGGAGGGCAACCACACCTTGCCGAACGGACGCGAGATGCCGCCGCTGTTCAACTTCACAGAGCATGGTGAGTCGATTCGGTGATGTAGTTCCTCTGCAGGATCATCCAACTAATCATACCGTTCTTCAAACGCTTCACAGAACTCTCGATACAGCCCAGCCTAGTGCCACAGTTGTTGCCCAAACATCTGCAGAATGCTGCCGGCGGTGCTGCCGGCAATCGGTCATCGGCTGGAGCATCAGCAGCGGCCAGTGGCTCGACCAGCGTCTCCTCGACGGGCAGCGGCGCCTCGGCGGAAGGATCGGCCCAGCCCCAACAGCAGGCCGCATCGGGCACAGCAGCAGCAGCCGGCTCGGCATCGGGTGCAGGCGCCGGTTCTGGTTCGGGATCGTCGGCAGCTGGCACAGCAGCTGGTGGTGGGGCATCGGGTGGAGCAGCCGGCGCTAGCGGATCGGGATCGGGGGGCAACAACAGCAGCAGCGGCGGCGGTGGTGGCGGCGGCGTGGGAGCGCCGTCTGCCGGTAATGCGCAGCAGGCAGCCGCTTCGGTAGGCGGCGGTGGTGGCGGGGGCGGTGCGGCGGCAGCTGCTGCCGCTGGAGCCACTGCATCCGGCGCCATAGCCGCGACCAATGCTGGCGGCGCCAATGTAACAGGTGAGTGAGCGGTTGGCCGGCCTTCAGCCACCCACCCAATGATCCTTCATCACTCTTCCTCTTCCTGCTCCTATTCTATTTCTGCTTTTCATCAAAAATTCGGGTATTCTTGATCGATATATATCGATAGTTATATCGATATTTAAGTATTTACTTTCTAATTCAGTTTCTCCTACAAAGCCTTCCAAGTAGTTGCTTTTCTTTTCCTGCTTCTTCTATTATTTTGTATCCATCCTTCCTGGATGTCATCCCTCCACCTAATTGTCCTTCATCCTGCATCCTGCACATCCTTAGTTGACGTTAGTCTCATGCTGAAGCCACCGCGCAAATTGCCGCAGCCGGGGAAGCCCTTTCTGCGAAGCCAGCTCCAAAACTGAGGATTCCATTCAATCATCAATCAACTTCTCCCCCAAAAATCAAGCCTATCAAGCCTAGGAAGACATCCTTTCCTCTTGAATTCCGGGGAAATCTATAGAAGAGAGCCGATTAATCAAAAGGCCAAGATGTAGAGAGTTTCTATTCTCCTCTTGTGGAAGCACACAGTCCTATATATCCTATATATATTATCTATATGTATATAAACTATCTATGGAAAAACTATGAAGCATGTACCAGCATATAGAATCAGAATCCGAATCAGAATCCGAATCAGAATCCTCCAATAAGCGTCTACAGTTCGCAGTGCAGTATCGACCTTTAGGATGCCAGTTATATAACCAGTTATATAACGATTTTAGCCAGTTTCAATGAATATTTTTTGCCGACTGTCAATAAATATATATATGCAATAAAACAATGTAGGTATTACGTTTTTTTTTTTGCTTCAAAGTCAGCTCTGGTCACACTGCAAACGGTTTTTTCCAGCGGTTGGGCCAATCGGGAAATGGGTTGAGATGCCACGCCCACACATTTCATTAAATTTTCATTTTAATAATTGTTTTGTAAAATGCTAAGATTATAATTTTTAATTTTATTTTTTATTTTCTTTTCATTTTTTTAATTACAGATTCATAGGGGCAATAAAAACATATATAACTTACAAACACACACATATATATATATATACATATATATAGCAATAAATATATATATATATATAAAACACAACAACAACAAGAGCAACAAGCATGTAATAATACAACAACAAAAAAGGAAAATCAAGAAAAAAAGAACCCAGAATATGGAAGTGCAGCAGCATCAATTATATATAAAAACAACCAATCCGATTCTATATAGGAATATAGAAACATAGCTACACTTCCCAGATATACACACACACACACACCCACATAACCATATAACCCGCAAATAGCAAAAAAAACAAAGATGAGAAATAAACCGGAAACGGAAGTAGCAGCAGCAGCAGCAGCACAGAAGTTAGATTTAGGAAATAAGGAGGAAAAGTAACACAGATGATGATTATAAATGAGAGAAGAAGAAAAGCTAAAGCAAAGGCGAAAGCAAAACGCAAAATTATAACTAAAAACAAAAAACAAAAACATTTTACTTAGGTAAAATTAAATTTATTTTAAATCTAAAATAAAACTAATAAGCATATAAAAATAAATATAATAATAATAATATTAATAATTGATAATAAATAATAATGGTAAATAAAACAAAACAAAACAAAAAAAAAGAAAAACACATTAATTATAATAGTAAAGCGCTGATTGATTGTCATTTTTTTTTAGTTATATTTTATTATTATATATATTATTCTCCTGACTTCCTCTCCATCTTCGCCTTCGCCTTCGCCCCCCCACCCCCACCCCACTACTCTCTCTAACTTTTTTTTTTTTTATTTGCTACATTTAATTTGTAAACACCAACCAACACCCACACCTTAATAATTAAATAATCGTAATGGATAATGATAATAATTAATTGTATATGTATATTGAACAAGAGTCATTGCATATTTTTTTGTACTTTCTGTTTAGTATGTTTTTTATAGTATAAGGTGAAAAGAGATGAGATGAATGAGGGGCTACTAAAAAATATAAAATAACAAGTTTGTGTAGTAAAAAAAAAAATCACATTTTAATTAATAAAATTCAATAGCCACCATTTATACACCAACCATATACTTATATGCAAGAAAAGAAAGAAAAATAAAAATAAAAATAAAAATAAATAAATTAAATTAAAAACTCACACAGAGACACGCACTTATACACACACACACACACTTGCTTGGGAAGAAGCAGAGAAGGAGAAGAACAAGAGGAGACAGAAAGATAAATTAAATTAAATTAAAACAAAATAGAAAAAAAACGAAAATACACGCAAAAAAAAACCCAAAAATAAAATAAAGCAGACGCAGAAGCCGAAGCCGAACATAATGTTAATGTTATGCTAAAATTAAAAAAAAAAACGATTTAAAAACAAAAACAAGCAACAAAACAAAAACAAAAAGCAAAAACCTGTTTAAACTATACATATATAATATAAATATATATATATATATACATACATATATATATATATATATATACCTATGAGAAAAAAACAAACAATTTTTTTTGCAATTATGTATACATACATATTAAATAAATAAATTATTTTTATTTTTATTAAATAATTATTTTGTAATAAATAAAAGCAAATAATTCAATGATTCAACAACAACAACAAGAGAACCAAGTCAGAGTGTGGAGAAGTCTAATTTAAACTTAATAATACTACATGTACGCAAATTATACATCTATACTTATATATATTTTTTTTGGTTTAATCCAGACAAAAAAAATATAAATTTTATCCTTTTTTTTTATTCTTTGCTTAAAAATATACATGTACAGAGATATATGGAGAGAAATCGAGCGAAACTTATGTATGAGATGTATTATTACTTAGCCAGTAGAAGTCGCGAGAAAGTTGTATGTTGATTTACAAAAAAAAAAACAAAAAACGAAAAGAAACGGAAGCGGAAGTGGTAAGGGAAGTTATTTAATCGCCATGAGCGATTGTCGTAAATCGTATATCGATAATTGATTATGTGTATGTAGGAAAAAAAAAAAAGAAAAACAGTTAGAGAACAGCTAGAAGAACAGAACAGGGAAGAAGATGGAAAGATAATGATAACAAAGATGATGATGTGCTGGCATCGGAGAACCAACGGTTTAGTTGCAATATGTAGATAAGGTCCAAAATCGGTTCTATCGATAACTATCGATAGCGATAGCGATAGCCGATAAATTACTGTGTAACTGTAGCTGCATTAGTAGTGCATAGTCAGTGTCGCCTTGCCTCGCCCGCCCCCCCTATATAATCCCAATTTTTATCCTGTATCCTCTATATCCTTTTATCACGCCTCCCCCTGGATTCAGAGCTGCTGAATATTAATGACTCTTTTTTTTTTTGGTTGTCGTCGGTTAATGGTTAGAAATGCAAGCAGAACTGTATAAAAAATGAAATAATTAAAAAAAAAGCAAACAAAAAAATATGAAGAAATGAGAAAAAAAAACGTATATTTATTTCTATAGTTTATTATAATCCAAGCTAAACTAATTATTATGCTAATTATAAAAGATTAATGGATACACACGCAGAATAAAATACATTTTCCTAGTAATTTAGGCACACATACACACACACACACACACAAAAAAACATTGACAAAAAAAAAAAATAAATAAATAAATGAGAAAAAAAAGAACAAAAACTTCAACCACATTTATCTAATTTTTAAATATTTTTTTTTGGCTAATTACATTGAAGAACAAGAGAAAAGAAACACATACAGACCCGAGACACTCACATACAAACAAACACCTACATACATACGCATACTCTGACAATTGTATATGTAATGCTGTAATAATCATGATAATATATAGAATCGTTGATGATAATGAGCCAAGAAGCCGTAATATAATAATTGCTAATAATTAAATGAATGAATAAATACAACAAAAATCCAACAAATAAAAAGAAACAAATACAATATTTAAACGAAAAGTAAAAAAAAAAAAAAAAAAAAAACTGTTTTGTTGCCTTTCCTTTTTGAACTTTTGATCATTTTTCGTTTTTGTTTTTCGTTTTGGCTCTCTTTGGGCTTCTGGTGGGCGGGGCATCATCACCATCCACTCTCTCTCTCTCTCTCCACTGTCTCTCAGCATCGTCATCAAGGATATGCCAATACTTCTACTTCTTCTTCGTATTTGTAACTGTAATCGTAATTGTATCTTTGTGTGCATGCTAGAAGAGTTTCCATTCGTATCCTTGCTCTTGGTCGCCATTTTATGAATTTCTAGCATATAGAGTGGACTTCTAAAAGGGTTTTGTTTTTCAAAGAGAATATTTGTTTTGCACCACGTTGCGTATGAGTAATATTAGTGCTACCACCTGGGTCCACAGGTCGTATGAGTGATATTTTCAATGGAGTTTGGAGGTCCACTCTTGAGTTACTTTTAATTCAAAGGATTTTTCAAGGATTCTATTATGAAAAATTTGTCTAAAATAACATTCGCAGGTTCCCAATCGAACAGCGCCCTCAACAATAGCACTGGCAACGGCAATGGCAGCGGAAACGGAAATGGCGGCGGCAGTGCCGGCAGCGGAAATGGCGAGACGGCAGACGAGCAGGCAGCACCAGGCGCAGCCGCCGAGACGCCAGCAGCAGCAGCAGCCGAGAACGAGGCAGCAGCGTCGGGTTAGCGCGATCAGGATAATAGCGCTCTGTTAATCTAATCTTAATCACAGGATTTTCGTCACATAAATCCCATTAAAAGAAAAAACTCTTAAAAAAAAAAATCTTAAACAAGCCATAAAAAAATGGGTTAATTACACTCGAAATTACAAAAAAAAAGAAAGAAAGAAAGAAAAATTAACACAATTCTCTATCACTCGCACACTCACACACTTACAAATGCATACACCAATACACACTCCCAGACACACCCACACACACACACACACATGTATGTATGTATATCCTTGCTAAAATGCATTGGGCGCAGGAAAATATTTAGCATAAAACTTGAAATAAAATAAAAAATAAAAGAAATCCAAAAAAAAAACAAAAAAAAAACCAAAAATCAACTTTAAAACTTTGCATAAATAATAATTAAAATAATAATATGTATTATTAAAAAGTAAATAAAATCTCGGAAAAAAAAATATTGAAAAATATTGGAAATCGAAAAAGTCCCTCCCTTCCCCCCAAAAAATAGCTCGCGAAACGTAATAAATATTAAGAATGAAATACTTAGTGAAATAAATCAAAATTTTTTGTCCCATTTAACGTTTATATATATAAATAAAAATATATATATATATGCGGTTATACATAAAGTATAGAAAAGATCACAAGAGTTATCAAAAGCCATAGATGAAATATTTCGGGGGAAGAGTGGATGAAAAAAAGAAGAAAAAACTAGAAGAAAAAAATAAAAACCATTTACTAAACTCGCGCAAGTGCATCTATATACATACGATATAGATATTATATAAACATAGTTATATACTGACATATATATATGTAAACGAGATATTAATGCAAACATTCGTAATCCTAGTAGAGCAAAAAACCCAGATAAAGCAAAGTAATAGATACATTTTTTGGTGGTGGCCTGTTCTTAAGTCAAGTTTAGATTATCTAAGGAAACGAGGCAAGTAATGGAAGCAGATCGATTGTCAAATGCAATATACACTATATACATACAATATACATAATGAAAATCGCAAGAATTCAAAATGTTCTTAAAGTTAAAAAAAAACGTAAAACAAAAATAAACAAAGAAGTGCAATGGAAATGAATGAGGAAACGCTTTTAGCGCGCGACGCCACCCATAAACTTAAAATAATGAAAAGTCAGAGGATCTGGAAGGAAGGAAGGAATATATATGTAAAACTAATCAACAAACAAACAAAAAAAAAACCATTTAGCTGCAATTGAAAACTTAAAATAATTTAACAGAAATTGAGGCATAGGTATTTAAGGCATTATTAGAACAACAGGACTCACCTCTTCGACTCGACTATTCGATTGGATTCTGCTCTTAGACCATAGTCCTTAGTCCTTAGCCCATAATCCTTGAAATCCCAGTTGAACTGCTTGATTCTTTTAGTAACTTCTCAGCACTACTAAGTAAATGAAAATAAAACCGGAACAAAATGTACGGAAAAGCAAGCCTATTTGTATGTATTTCCATAGAAACTCCTTGCAAAGCATATATATATATATATTAAATGTAACTATATACTTTTTTTTTTTTAACTAACTATAAACGTTGAGTTTTTCGCCATTAAAAACTAAATAAAATTAAATTTATAAAATAAACACACACACACACACACATACACACTTACACTTACACTCACGCACATGCGACTTATAATTTTGAAATAAAATTTAAAAAAAATTAAAACAAGAAACTTATTAAAATCTAAAAACTGTATAATCCAAGCAAAGTACAGTTTTATTTTTCACCCAAACACAAAGAAACACACTGAAAGAAATTATTGAAATGCTAAATCAATATATATATATATATAAACACACACATATATATGCATAGAAAAAGGAAAACAAACATACTTATATGGAGAACAATTTCAGCGTTTCGCTTAAAATATGAGGCAAAAAATAAAATTAAAAACCAAACAAAACCAAAACTTAAACTTAATTAAAACTAAAAGAAATTAAACACAAAACAAAAACAAAAATAACATAACGAGAAACCTAAAAATAAAACCGAAATTGACAAAAAATGGAAATGATAATGAAACTTGAACAACACGAGAGACAAATGCGTAAAGAAAACATTAATTTAAAAACAATAAAAATTACAAACAAAAATATATACAAAAGTGTTTTAATTTTGAATGGATAAGGATTTCAGAAAACATAGGGGTACCCCCACAAAATTTTAGGTTTGTCGCAATTTCCCCACTTTTGCTTCTTCGGATGGCCATAGCTCTGCCGATTTGTATCCGATCAGGAAATAAACTACTATTTAGTAATCAGGGAACCCAGAAGCAACTTTCCTCATCCAAATAATTGCCTAAATATCGTTCTGAAATTTTTCGAATTTTTTCCTAGGGGTTCCCCTACAAAATTGTGGGTTTTCCTATTTTCCCCACTTTTGCTCCTTCCGATGGCCATAGCTCTGCCGACCAATGTTTCAATAAAAATGATATTTTATAATTAAGCTTTATTCTTATTAAATTTTTTACTGGTTACCAGCAGTTTTTCTTAAACTTAAAAAAAAAAAGATTGCAACTGTGTTTATTTTGAATATTTTCATGTCCGTCTTCTCTTTCCAAGACTGAGATCCGTGGCTCCGCCACTTCCGTTGCCATTGCCACTTCCATTTTCGGGCTTGTGGCGTCGCTTGCTACTCCTGGCCGCCAATCGCAGACCCGAACCTGTTCCCGCTCCCACTATCCGGCTGTTCTCGCCCGGAACTTGCGGAGTCAGTGGTAGGGATGGCATGGTGGGAGTGGCTGCTGTGGCACTAGGATCCTGTAGATGCTCCGTTTTGATTAGACCTCCTGGGGCGATCATAAGGAGATCATTGCCACCGTTCCGGTGCTCCCCGCGCTCGCACTTTATGTGCCTTACGGAGGCGTTATCCATGGAGTCCCCGGAGTCCGGCATACACGAGTCCAGGGCGTGACCATTCACCGTGCGATTATCGTTGTTGTTCTGCTCGGGATTCTGACGCTGCTGCCACTCCAGGATGCCGGTGAGGAGCTTGATGTACTTGATGGCCGAGCGAAGGATCTCGTTCTTGGAGAGCTTCTTGTCCGGCGGATGCGTGGGCACCAGTTTACGGAGTTCGGCGAATGCCCCGGACACGTTTTGCTGTCGCCAGCGCTCCCGCGTATTGGTGAACACTTTCCGGACCCCACCGACGCCATTTCCGCCACTTACCCCGCCAGAACTGGCTGCGGAACTGCCTCCGCCACCACCTCCACCGCCTCCTGTTCCGCCGACGGAGCTGCCCGAGCTCGCCGGAGCCGTTAACGGTCCGTTCCGGGAATGACTGCGCGGAGAACTGGACAGGGAACGATTCGCTGTGGATTGCAGGCACCATATACTCCAGATCCTTCAGGTAAATATGGGTTATCCTTACCATCTCCTTGATTTCCATTCAGGACCAAGTAGTCCCTCAGGTCCTCCTCGTCCTCCTCCGTATCGTTCAGCGAGAAGTCGGACAACTCAGCATCGCCATCAGCGTCCCCGTCCGAAATGGACTCCGTCTTGGGCTGCAAATGGGGCGTGGCATGGCGAAGGAGGGCAGGAGGTTGCCTCACTGTTGCCCTGGTGGACTCCGGTAGACCTCCGCCGTTAGAGGTGCCTCCTGCTCCTCCTCCGTTTGGCTCGTCCTGTTCCCTGCGACCGCTGGATGAACCGCCACTGGACGTTGTGCTTCTTTCGTCGCCATTGTCTGCTCCATTGGAGCTACTGGGTAGCCAGGCCATGTCTCACACTGTTCTCCGGAGGATGGTAACGTCCGCCGTGGTCCAAGTTCCACAGCCAAGTGAGCAGTCAGAGCAGGCTATGAGGTCCGGACAGTCTCAGCAACACGATGTTGCAACCACCCTCGGGCAACCTTGAAAAGAGGCGGAGTCTGTTGCACAGGAAACGGGGGTTGAACAGGAGCTCTGCATCCAGGCTCGGCATACACACGAAAAAAAGGGGAGGAGCCTCGACAGCTTCCTGCCTGAAGGAGTAGGGTGTTTCAACTAAAAACGGCTTTAAAGTTGGTTATTATTTAAAATTTATTTGAAATTGTTAAAGATCTCTCCAGCTTCCTGCTTTAAGGACATTAAAAAGGACTTTGTATGATCTCTGAATTTAACAGTGACTCGCGGCTCCCACATAGACCAATAAAAGGGCGATTAGTTGCAGAACTCCATTAGATTCCTCCGAAACGTTTCATCAGAAGATAGTCACTGGTTAGCGGCAGCCCGGAGCGACGGGGGGAATCGCCCACCTCCTCGCGTTCCTCCTCCCCGCCACCAAAGTCTTCGTCCCGGGTCAGGATCTTGGATGCACCGCCATCACCAGATTGCAGGTTGACTCGCATCGCCGGCGAGGGATTCACGAAGATCATCTTGTCGTGCATCTCCTCGCGCTGGCCGCAATGGCCTTCGCGGACGGCACGCGGCCGGAAGGTGTAGGTGGTGGGCGTCATCCGGGCGTCGATGTACTGGACCTGCACCTCCACCGGGAAATCGCTGCCGAGGACCTCGCTAATCTCGAACGGCGCCGTATCGGCCACATGCAGTCGCAGCGGGAGCTTCGGCGACATCCGGAACGAGACCCGTTGCACGAACTTGGACAGGTCGCCGCCGCCCGGCCCGGAGCGCAGGTAGACGCTCCAGGTGGGCTCCAGCATATAGGGCAGATCCGGATCGGAGCCCTCCATTTCACAGCCGAGCACGATGTCCCGGGAGATCACACACCGTCCGGTCATGGTGATGCCAGGACCACGATTGCAACTCACCCGCTGGCATTCGTCGACCGCGTTCTGGTGCCGCAAAAGATGGGTATAGCTCATCCTGGAACAGGTAATATATATATATATATATATAGATATCTTAAAGATTTGATTTTTTTCCTTTTTTTTTTTAAATTTTTAAATTTTAACCGAAAAGTTTCACAGAACAAATTTTTAAGCTTTCTACAGGAAGAGTATGGAAATCAAATGGTATATGGGATCTAAACGAACTCATCCATATATGATCTTAAAATCAGAGGTTACTGGGAATACTTTTTTTTAACAAATTACTGTTACGGATATTTAATTTTTTCAAGAAAAAAATGACCTTTTTTCTTATCATTTTCTTTTCTTTTGTGGAAATCTTAAGACCCATCTCGAGGATTAATATTTCCAGTTAAAAGTTTTCCTTAAAGCGTGGAAATTTCAACGCTTTTTTTTATGGATATTTCTCTTGTTTTTTAAGCCCTTGATGGAGAAAAAAAATTTGTGTAAAAATTGGAAGGAGGATGTCTGGGGTTAAAATGGCGCAGGCGCCAAAGGGCGGAGCCTTTTGTGGAAAAAAAAAAAAAAGAAAATAGACTGTCAGGGTTGGGATGGAACGAAATCTTTACTTAACTTGAAAATTTGTGGGATTCGAAATGATTCGGAATCCAACTAATACAGCAGCCATATGTGTTTGGGGTAACTAGATAGAAATTTATAAAATTGATACCAAATGGATTGATTTTACGTGTCTATATGTTTGTGCGGTTAACGTTAACAATCGGGATAATGCGCCAGCTGGCGGCTGGGAATCGGAACTTAAGCATCACGGGGTCCTGGATTGACGATGTAGCGACGCTCCACGTTCAAGGACTCGCGTGCGCGCTCCAGGTCCTCGTTGAGTTCATCCTGCTGGCGTTGGATCTCCAGTTCTTCCTCGGTTAGCTCTATTTTCTTCTCCTCAACGGGGGCTGCATCTTGGCCAGCATCTTCCTTTTCCTGCTCGTACATAGCCTGGGCCTGGGCTTCGGCCTCCGCCTCTGCCTGGGCCTCGGCCTCTGCCTCCGCCTGGGCTTCGGCCTCTGCCTCGGCCTCTGCCTCCTGCTCCTCTTCGATTGTCTCCAGACGGTCTCCTGTGAGCACTTCGAACATGACGCCATTTTCTGTATAGTAGTCTATTGTTTCTTTCCAGACGTCTTCTAGCTCTGAATCAGATTCACTCTCCTCCTGGGGTTCATCGTCTGGCTCCTCTTGGGGATCCTCCTCATTTTGGGCCTCATCCTGGGGATCATTTGGAGGTTCGTTCTGGTGACTACCCTGTGAGAGATTATCAAAGTAATCAGACGAATCTTCCTCTGCATCTTGGGAACCGTTCGGGGAATCTTCCTCTGCATCTTGGTATCCGTTCTGGGAATCACCTGATTCATATTCAGAATTATTATCCTCTTGCGACTGCTCATACAACGAAGTATCCTCATCCGGATCATTCTCGGACTGATCCTCCTCCGGCTGCTCGACACTTGGCTCCTGGACCTCAACATCATCAATCGGCGGCCCTTCCAGAGCATCGAACATCTCCGGCTCGGGCTCCACTGGTAGCTTGAGCATCATCTTCATGGCGTCGGAAGGATTAACAAAGAAAATGCTGCGCACAGTCTCCTGAATGGATGGGCTATCCGGATCAAGCGCCATGGTCACATAATGGTGGAATATGGTGCATGTGTGACTGGTGTCCTTAAATAGAATGGTCACGGTGACCTTAGTATCGTTGTTGCAGTAAGCGCCGCTCTCATACGGTGGACTCTCGACCATGTGGATGCCATTGGAGCAGTTATCGTTGAAACGGAAGACCACCTTGACGGCGTAGTCGGATAATGGCTCATAGGAATCTGGTAAGTCGGCAGCCGCCTTGGCTACATCTCCCTCCTTAATGGCTTTAATATAAACACGAAACTGATGGGTCCAGCGACCATTGTGGATCGAACGGTCTATGGCCTGGGCAAAGCTGCCCAAGAGAAGACGCCGCTCGTACTGCTCCAGGCTCTGCTCGTAGTCGTTGGCCAGGGTGCAACGGCTGTAGCACAGATCCAATAGTTTGTTAGTCATTCTGTTCCCTTTTTTTATTATAACCAGACATGTAATATCTAGCAAGTGAGTGAAGTGAATGCCAGATTCTCGTTGAAAGTATTGTATCGATGTCAAAGTTATAGTCAAGGCCTGCTTGATTTGGAAATAGATTCTATATCATAGACTACTTGATTTTTCTTACCAGACTAACTTTATTTTAAGGGTTTCCTTTAGAGAATCGGTTTTAGAAAAACTAACCAAGATATAGATATCATAAAGTAGCAAGGATTAAAAATTATAATAGCCAAGTTAGTACCAGCACCTGACCTCCCCCCTGGTGGAAATCCGCACTTTATGGGCAGGTCATAATTCTGGCATTAGAGGGTTGTCCTTGGGAACCCATTTCTAATCCCGCTCTCAGTCCGCGCCGCACAGTTCGCCCAAAAAATGGGAAATCCACCCTCGCTGAGTGAAAAATCTTAAATCCATAAGCCGCTTACCAACAATCAAATCATATATCAGCCAAAAGTAAAAAAAAAAATCAAAATAAACCAAAAGTCAGGGATATATCAACAGTGGCGAAGTATCAAAATCAAATTAGCAGCATTTTTGGTGACTAATTCAAAGACGTTCTATCATCCGGACGGCAGGGCGGTACGTCCTTTTGGAGTTTTCCGGGGCGGGTATTCGGAGTATCCGGGTGTCTGTATGGTCTGGCACGTGTATGGTTGGCAAAGATAAGCGTCCAAATACGGCAAACACTCACACGTGTCCGAGTTCAAATGGATTTTCACACCCACTCGACGGCCAAAAGCCGCCAATTAATAAAATTCAATTACTTTCGAGCCACCGCAGTCTGCCGATGGAGAGTGTCGATAAAAAATGGATTGCCAGGGGAGCCAAGGAGGCGTGGTCAGTAAGGAATATGGCTCAAATTTTATATCCATATGTCTATAAAAGGAATAACTTTCATTTTTTAATAAAAACAACGTTCTATTATTAAGGTTTCAATTCAGTGTCGCCATCTGTGGGAAAAGTGGTTTCTGAAGCTCTGATATTACCGTTAGTTCATTGTCAATGGAGGACGTGCTGCTGAGCACATCATCTCCATACACACACATACACAAGTCGGGAGTAGAAAGACCCCCAAAGGGAAAGGAGCAACATGCTGAGCCTGTGGGAAGCAGAGGTGGTGTCAGATTAAAAAGGGGGGTTTAGGAAAAAAAGGAGCTTTTAAAATTAAAATTTTTCCTATTTCAATATTAATATTTTTTCTTAAATTTAATATTTCTTTAATTATTTAAGGGGTCACGCCACCCTGAAATTTTCAAAAAATCGATTTTTTTTTTTTTACTTAATTTAAAAGACTATATTCTTACGCGTATTTTAAGACGTCCCCGAAGACAATATCTTGATAATTATGGAAGTTATGTTTATTTCAAGGCGGCACTGCAGGAGGGCACCTAAGACACTTCTTTTTCTTCTTTTGCGTTTTTCTCGAAACCACTTTTTTCAAGACGGTGGGCATGATAACTCAAAAACTGTTCAACCGATTGACTTGAAAATTGAAACACATCTTCTTACATAGATTTTCCACAGAGTGACGTAGGATTTTTTTGATCCAATGGATAGAAATTTTTTTATGCAATTTTTAGTACGAAATTTTTTGCCCAAAACATTGAGTCAAGTTTTGAAGTGCTCTCATTTGCGTAATTTTTCTTCTTTTCTAAAACGGCTACGTCACTCTGTTCCAAATTTATCACTTTTTAAAAAAAATTTTGTTTACTTTTTCTGATGAAAATTGACACGTGAATCATGCCCACCATCAAGGAGCACTCCGGAAAAACCCATGATCGCCGATGTTCATATCTCCGCCATTTTGAATTGAAAACAAATTTTTTTTTAGAATTTATAAAGCTCATTAGTTGTATTAAATAGAAATAAAAGTGGAAAAATCCTATCTCAACTAGTTTAGTCACAAGAAATTCCTGAAAAACCGTCCCGTTTCCACGCGGTCAGGGTGGCGTAACCCCTTAACTCTCTTAGTCTTCAAAATAATTTTTTAATATTTAATATTAATTCTTTTTAAACTCCATATACCCTCTCTATCTCTCTCTTAACTGAGCCCCTGGAAAACTGAATGACTGCTGATGCTGCAGGTGGGAGCGGCAGTCAAAGAGCGGGGCGAGAGCCAGCCAAAGAGAGAACACTAGCATGAGTGCAGCAGTTAAATCAGTGACTAATGAGCTTAGGCAACGTTGCGAAATAAACAAAACAAAACATGCATCTTGGGGCAGGCCCTGTTCGTCGTAAAAATAAATAAATTGTTGCTGTTGCCAGGAAAACAAAAAAGCAACAACAACACATATAGCAATAAAAGTCAATAAGAAAAGCAAAAGCAACGCGACAGTAAGTGCAACAACAACAAGAGCCACAACTCACGTGGCATGGTGCGTGACTTGACCCACAAATTCGCTCGCCGCCGGCACCCGCAGCACCCCCACACACGCACATGGCAAGCCCAGAGCCCAGGCCGGAGTCTCATCATGCCACCAAACCCCCCTTTTGGCAGTGGCCCCCACTTCCAGAGGCAGAGAGTTTCAGAGGCCAGGCAGCTGCGTATTCTAGGGATTCCCTTAACCCAACTATGGTTCAAGGGTAGATATTTATGCAGCAAGAAAGCTTAGTTTTTTTTTTTAATATAATATTTAAGCAAGCAATTAATAGGTTTTTTTAAATTTAAACATAAATAATTTTTATTAGTTTTAAATATGTTTGCCCAGTTAAGGGTTAATATCAGAAAACGATTGCCAATTGCCGATGGTGGAGAGCGATAGAACTGCAGAGCCCCCGAAGCTGGGCTACGAAGAGAAAATGCGAGTCCCCCCCTGTTGGGGCATGCGAAGCTCGGCGTTCTCTCGAGTGCACATGAGAGGTCTCATGCTCGTTTTCATTTTCATTTTCATTTCCATGCGACTGCAGGCCAGTATTCACGCGAATTTCCAGCAAGTAGGTCGACAAAAGCGGTCGAGAGAACAAAATATATAGATACCCACACTTATCAAGGCCTACTTACAAAAAATAATTCAACTAAACTACATACATTATTTTTTTGTGAAACAAAAAGGATTAATAAAGGATAACTCCTGGAAGAATTGGAAAAGCTTGGAGTGACACACACACACACATATAAAGTGAGATATAAAGAGAAAGAGAAAGAGAGAGAGTGCAAGTGGGTGATACTGTCACGTTGCTTCAATAAAACAGCAACAGTTGCCTTCAGACGGCGTGAGAGCCAGAGAGCGAGAACCGCATTATCATATTGCAAAAACAAAAAAAAAAACAACAACAAAAGTGTAAAAAATCAGAAAACAAAACAATCTCGTGGCCCCAACAACTTACATAAACAACAACGTTCGTAACGGGTATATAGTGCTTATTAATAAGTGCCGGTCGGTCGCCAGAGCGAGAAAAAGAAAACCCATACACTCATCCATACACACACACACACACATATGCATACAGACAGAGACAGAGAGAAAAACAATAACACACCGAAGTCCGAACCGGAGAGCACGTTGCAAAAAATAAATATAAAAATAAATAAAAAAAAAACAAAGTAATCGCAGCGTAAACAAAGCCGGGCATTAGATGTACACCTGGAATGTTTCGATTTCGGTTTAATTTTAGACTCGCTCAATATTACGCATACGCAGCGTTGCACCAGATGCTATTCATTTCACCATTCACATGGCTTTTAAATTAGAGACCATAAGGATTTCACAATTTCCAAAACAGAATATTTAGTTTGTATTGATAGTATGGTTTCTAAGGCTTGAATATTTTGAATATTACTTATACGCCTAGTTGGTTAGTCACATTGTTGGCCGTTTGCTGCCTCGTAAGCACTTTTGGTCACACTAATTATTGGAAAGGCGTAATTACTGTCTGCTAATGAAAGTACCATTACATGACAGTGCCTAACCGTCTGCCCGTCTGCCTTATCCAACAATCCTTGTCCTTGTGACGTAGATCCCAGCGTGTAATCCAATCCTGTCCACACTCTGGCGGGGTTATGACCTTTTTTTTCGACTCCTGGCGACCTCTACATAAATGTCGCATTTTGTGGCTGGCCCTGGCCATCATCTCAAGTGCCGAAAAGTGCTGATTATGCATCAGACTTTGTTGCATCCATCCTGGGGGATTATGTTATGTCTCAGATTCCGATTTTAGCCAACGAATCTGGTTCTTTGTTGCATAATCCGTCTTATTATTTTGCATTGTATTTGTTTTGGTTTTCTGTTATGTAAGCATTATTCTGGCATTCTTGCGGCGAATTTTTATGTAATTAAGGGGAACTCATCCCACACGTGAATGTTTTGGGGGAAATGTGAGAAGCTCGATTAGCAAATAGTGCTGGGATATTTGAATTACGTAAATTCCGAGACTTTTAGCCATAATCAGCATAAATATTAAAAGGAATTAAATTAATTATTAATTTTAATGTATCTTTTTTTTAATTTTAAATCCAAATTGGTTTATCTGGGCCAATTTAGATAAGATATCTGTCCATCTATCTATGCTTCTGGTTATCGCTCTATCCAACTATCTTTCTATCTAACCACACTGCAGTGTGTGTGTATCTGTGAGACCCACTTTGTGGCTGTATTTGTGAACGCCTGTTGCTGCACGTGAATGCAACTGATTGGGTCTCTCTCTCTCTCTTGGGTCGCCTCCTGTGGGTTGCGTGTCTGCCTCTAATTATTCTGCCGCTGACGCAGTTGCCATTATGGCATTGTGCCACCAATCAGGTGTTAATCAAGGTGTCGGCCATCCATAACCATTATGATCTGTGCGATTCGAGTGTTTATGCCACTCGAAATTCGATGCCCATTGTTATTGGAAGGGGGTGGGGTGTGGGTGTGGGTGTGAGGGGTTTCTTGGTAATGGTATTTAATGGCGTGAAATTCAAGCAAAGGTGTTAGATCAAATGTCTATATCGTGTGTCTATAGAAAGATAATAACAAATCAGTGGGGATCTTTTGGCCGTTTTTTTGGAACTCAAATCTTTCGAAATTCTTTTCAAATATTTTTCAGAATGGCAACGTTTTAAATGGCCTTGCTCATTGACCTTCTTAGAACCGAATTCACTAAACTATCCTTGGGTATGTTTCTCCATACGCGTCTGCGAGTCTAACCTGAAATTTGAGATTAAAATATCACAGGTCCTTAAACATATTCTTAACTAATAAAAATTTAATATTGTATTTGATTGCAGGATCATCCCAATATATAAATATTACCGCTACGATTGGAAGTTCAGAGAACTTGAATACAATGGAGGGCGGCGAGTCGACGGAATCGAATCACAACACCAAGGTGTCCGATTCGGCATATTCGAACAGCTGCAGCAACAGTCAGTCGCAGCGCAGGTGAGTTGAACAAGAACAGACAAGAATAGTTAGAGATGGGCTAAGAGTATTAAGGACAGACAAGAATAGTTAGGGATGGACTTAGCCTATTAATCGAAATTAATCGAAGCTAATAATCGGTTCTATTTAATGGCTTCTGGGTAAGGGATACTACCTTTTTAAAGACCTTTTCATCCATGGATTTAAAACCAAGTCATTAATTAGGGAGCCCATTCTTCTCTTACTAAGCCTCTTACACTTAATTTCTTAGTATTAAAAATAAAACTATTATTTTCCACTACAGTGGCAGCTCCAAATCCCGTCTCAGTGGAAGCCATTCGTCGGGCAGCAGCGGCTATGGGGGAAAACCCTCCACGCAAGCGTCCAGCAACGATATGATCATAAAGCGCAACAAGGACAAGTCCCGCAAGAAGAAGAAGACCAAGGCCCAGACTCTGACACAGACCCAGGCCCAGGAACAGAGCCGGACCAGCATATCCCAAACCGGAACAAGCTCCTCGAAAGGCCGGACAGTCGGGCAGCAGTCAGAGGAGGGAATCGCAACCACATCCAGCTGCAGTGACCCGCAGATGCGTACAGATCCAGACCAGAAGCCGGGAGCTCGTCCCAGCAAGCTGGAGGAACGTCTTGGTGCCGGGGAGGAGGAGGAGGAGGAGGTAGAGGTATCGGGCTCTGAGGAGGAGGCCGAGGGCGAGGAGTGCGAGGGCCGTGAATCAAAGTCGGAGCCAGCACAGACCTTCCCCACACCCTCACCCATGTCGGTGACCACCCTGCCCACATCCCTGATCGGCGGCATTGGTGGCAACAGCTGCCACGTCGGAGTATCCGGCACAGACTCGGGCATCGGAGGTGGCGGCAAGTCGGAGAAGACCTGTGAGTCCGCCCCGGGAAAGCTGGAGACCGTGGCCGGAGTGGGAGGAGCAGCCGCAGCTGCCAGGGCCGAGCGCGTCAAGGAGGAAAGCTTCTGCTGCGTCATCTCCATGCACGATGGCATCGTCCTGTACACCACGCCCAGCATCACCGACGTCCTGGGCTTTCCGCGCGACATGTGGCTGGGTCGCTCCTTCATCGACTTTGTTCACCATAAGGATCGCGCCACCTTCGCCAGCCAGATAACCACTGGCATTCCCATCGCCGAATCTCGGGGCAGCACCCCCAAGGACGCCAGGAGCACATTCTGTGTGATGCTGCGTCGCTACCGTGGCCTCAACTCTGGAGGATTCGGAGTGATCGGACGCTCCGTCAGCTACGAACCCTTCCGCCTGGGACTCACTTTCCGGGAGGCACCCGAGGAGGCCAGGCCGGACAACTACATGGTCTCCAACGGCACCAACATGCTCCTCGTCATCTGTGCCACGCCCATCAAGAGTAGCTATCGTGGTGAGTCCTTCTTTGAAGTCCATCCTCTTCCATCTTTACTCTTTCTTGAATTCCAGTTCCCGACGAGATCCTCTCGCAAAAGAGCCCCAAGTTCGCCATCCGGCACACGGCCACTGGCATCATCTCCCACGTGGACAGCGCGGCGGTGAGCGCCCTGGGGTATCTGCCGCAGGACCTTATCGGCCGCAGCATCATGGACTTTTACCATCACGAGGATCTGGCCGTCATGAAGGAGACCTACGAGACGGTGATGAAGAAGGGCCAGACCGCCGGAGCCTCCTTCTGCAGCAAGCCGTACCGCTTCCTGATCCAAAACGGATGCTACGTCCTCCTCGAAACAGAGTGGACCAGCTTCGTGAATCCCTGGTCGCGCAAGCTGGAGTTTGTGGTCGGCCATCATAGAGTTTTCCAGGGTGAGTCCTTGTTCAGGAAGGTTTGGAGTCTTCAAGTTTAGAACGTCCTTTTCTTTCAGGACCCAAGCAGTGTAATGTTTTCGAAACAGCTCCCATCTGCAAGCTAAAAATCTCAGAGGAGGCCCAGGGCCGGAATGCCAGAATCAAGGAGGATATTGTCAAGCTACTGGCGGAGACTGTGTCTCGTCCTTCGGACACGGTCAAGCAGGAGGTGTCTCGTCGCTGCCAGGCCCTGGCCAGCTTCATGGAAACCCTGATGGACGAGGTGTCGCGGGCGGATCTCAAGCTGGAGCTGCCGCACGAGAACGAGCTGACCGTCTCGGAGCGGGACAGCGTGATGCTGGGCGAGATCTCGCCACACCATGACTACTACGACAGTAAGAGTTCCACGGAGACGCCGCCGAGCTACAACCAGTTGAACTACAACGAGAACCTGTTGCGCTTCTTCAACAGCAAGCCCGTGACCGCGCCCCAGGAGTTCGATCCGCCAAAGGTCGCCGCAGCCTCCGGCGCCCACGAGTCGCCCTATGCGGATGCCCATCGCAGCAACCTGAGCCCGGTGCACGGATTCGGCTTCGAGGGAAGCGGCGGCAGCGGCTCGTCCGGCAACTTCACCACCGGCAGCAATGTCCACATGAGCAGTGTGACCAATACGAGCAATGCGGGAACCGGAGGAACAGGAACCAATACAGGCACCAACACCGGAACAGGTACCGGGACAGGAACTGGGACGGGCACAGGCACGGGAACAGGGACGGGAACTGGAACGGGAGTCGGGACAGGGACAGGAACGGCGACGAATGAAACAGCTGGTCCGAGCACCACCACAACCACGGCGACCAGGAGCACCACCACAGCCACCGCCGCCTCGCCGCCCGTTACCCTCACGGAGTCCTTGCTGAACAAGCACAACGACGAGATGGAGAAGTTCATGCTGAAGAAGCATCGGGAGTCGCGCGGCAGGTCCGGAGACAAGTCGAAGAAGTCGGCCAACGAATCCTCCACCCTCAAGATGCTGGAGTACAGTGGGCCGGGACACGGGATCAAACGCGGTGGCTCCCACTCCTGGGAGGGCGAGGCAAACAAGCCGAAGCAGCAGCTGACCCTGAGCAGTGTCGGCGTGGGCGTGGGCATGGGCATGGATACGCCCAAGGCAGTGCCCGGAAACAGTGCAGGAGTTGGACCCGGAGGCGCCGGCGTGGCGGGAGGAGGACTAGGCGGCGGTGGAGGTGGCATCTCCGTGGGAACAGGCACAACTGGAATAGGAGCCGGAGTCAATCCCGGGAATGGCTCCGTGGGCAGCTCCACGCCCGGACCCTCCGCCTCGCAGTACCAGACGACCAGCATGTCCTGCACCCAGAACATTAATCTCTGGCCACCGTTCTCCGTGGGGATCACCACGCCGGTTCACTCCACCCACACGGCCATGGCCCAGAGCAGCTTCTCCTCGGCAGCCGGACTGTTCCCCACCTTCTACTACATACCGGCTGCCTCGCTCCCGCCCTCCGCTGGATCCAAGCAGCAGCATCCCCACCAGCACGGCCACACCCACACGCATCCCCATTCGAATCCCCACAAGAGCGTGGACCAGCCGAGCACCTCGCAGCAGGCGGCGGCAGCAGCTGCGGCCACCATGCCGCTCCAGTACATGGCCGGAGTGATGTATCCGCATCCCTCGCTCTTCTACACCCACCCGGCGGCGGCGGCAGCGGCCACTGCGATGATGTACCAGCCGATGCCGTTCCCCGGAATGGCCAATGCCCTCCCCATTCCCCAGGAGCCGGTGAACGGAGGCAATGCAGGGCAGGGCGGTGGCTTCGGAAAGAGCGTTTTCTCGGTGAGTATTGAGGATTGCCCATTGCTTATCCTAATCTTCTAATCCTCCTCCTCTGCAGCCTCAACAAGTGGTGGGGCCGCCACAAGCCTCGACCACCAAGGGACCCATGCCCGGAGCCTTCCACTCGATCACACCCAGCCAGAGATCCGCCTCGCAGGCCACCTCCGTGAAGGCAGAGCCGGGCTCGAATGTGGCTCCCTCCGAGTCCTCGAAGAAGGAAGTTCCAGACTCGCCCATTCCCTCCGTCATGGGTGACTACACCTCGGACCAGCCCTGCAGCAGCAATCCCACCAACACCAAGGTAAGGATGACCCTCCTCTGATTATTCCTCTCCTCTATTTCAATTCCGAAATCCTCCTCCAGAAATACACCGACAGCAATGGGAATAGCGATGACATGGATGGCTCCAGCTTCTCCTCCTTCTACTCTTCGTTTATCAAGACCACGGATGGATCGGAGAGCCCGCCGGACAACGACAAGGATGCCAAGCACCGCAAGATAAAGGTAAGTGGTTGCCGGAAAAGGGAGTCCCATATCTGACTAATCGAGTACCGGAAAGCAGAGCATCAATTCATCGGATAGCAAGATCATGGAGCACCCGGAGGGTGACCAGACCCAGCACGGAGACGGATAGCTAAACCCGCGGGTGCTGCTGACCGATGTACACAACCGGGTGCACAATGTGACCGATGTGGAACCCTAGGCGATCCCCACTGATCCCGCAAGCAGACACCTAAAACACCAAGGGATCACAACAAAGTGTGAGTATCCTTTTATATTTCTTTGGTTATCCAATCCAATAATATAATATCCGTAATGTCATGTAGTTACCCAACCGTACAAACAAATTCCACACTATAGACTGGACTAGAGGGACGACAGTGTCCCTCAGCAATTATCCTTCAAGAATCACCACAAAGGAAAGAAAAAAACAGCCTCAAAACATTAAAATTTGAAGTTCTCAAAACAATAATAGAATAATTTTAAGTTTTTTTTTTTTTAATTAATAACTTTATTTATTCAGAATAAAAACAAAAACTTCAAATTCAACTTTTGCAATGATTATTTTATTAATTTTAAACTTTAATGGTTTAATATTTTGTAAGAGATTACTCATCTTCGAAGAATTCATCGTAAGGTATATCGTTCCACAGTCCTTGTAGGATATTTTTAAAGGATCTGCCGCAGGCCACGTTGAAGGCCGGCTGGACATCGGCGGCGAGGGCATCCCACTCCTGGTTGAGGACCTTGAGAGTGCTCTCGCGGAGCTCCACGTTGTCGTTGAACAAGTTGCTCATATTGAAGCTACCGCTGGGGGGTGGAAAGGGTTTGGGGTTTAGTGGCGTCCCAGAAAAGTATGCTATGTTTTTTTTGAAAGAGAACTTACTTCCTCAGCTTGGTGGTGATTCTAAAGTCCGTAACATTTAGATAGGTATGACCATCCGACCGCTTGACAGGCTCAACCAGTATCCTCGACTTGGAATGGACATCCGAGAGCTTGATGACCGCAGTTCCTGTGCTGACAATCGGCAGGATGAGCAGCTTGCCGTCCACATCGTACTTGGCACGCACCTCCAGATCCGAGGCCTGCATGAGCACGGTGATCTTTAGGGGCTTGGTCAGGTCCTTGCTGAAGCCCTTGATGCCCTTCACCTTCACCGACTGGGCGAAGTTGTACAGCTTGGAGTCGGACAAGGTGAGCTTGAATTGCAGCGAGTCCGAGTGACCGCCGCTTTCGATTCGCATGGTACCCAGCTCCAAGGGGTCCATGCTCGCCACTTGTCTCTCTGGGATTCCGTTCTTGAAAGCCTTGAAGAAGATGTTGGCCTGATCCACGACACAGGCTTCATCCTGCCACTTGCATCGCTTCATGGAAGAGGCTATGGAGGTTAGGGAAGTAATGAGGAACTCATCTCCTTCGGGTTTTCCAATAGAGTTATACTTACGAAGACCCACTGAAGCCTGTACCAGGTCGGTCACCAGAGACAGACCCACCAGAAGATATATCCATCCGACTAAGTGCATTTTTTTCGAGATTTACGATTTCCGGGTCGTGTTTTCCGTATTCCGACGATCAACAACTGATTAACGATAGCACGGGGCCGGGCCTATTTATCCATCCTCCGATGCTCCGAGTGTTCTGGTTGGATTAACGACGACTCTCTAACGAAGTGTCGATCGAGCCAGCCCGATCGTCCCGGTCGTACCGGCATGACACCTAGTTAGCTTTGAAGGGGGATTTTTTTGTATATAATTATTTTTGGATTTTTCATTGAATTTGAATTAAAAGTAAATCGAATTTATGGAAAACTACTGAAACTACTAAAGTTTTAACATTACATTATATTTATATGCAATTATGCGTTGGGTGACATATCGGTATCACATCGGTATGTCATCGGGACTGGATCGGCCGAGTGGGATGATGAAAGCCCCAAGCCAGCACCCGTCTCGAACGGGTTCTCCGCAGCGAACTCTCGCACTATCTCGTCACCTGGCTTGGGATAAATATTTACATTTGATATTTGAATGCAGTGAACTCTGGATACATAGTTTAACCCCCGGAATTCATCAAAAGCTCAATAAATAAGAAGTACTTCCAGGGCTTGCACTTAAAAAAAAAATATAGAAAATAAAAAAAGATCTTAAGAACCTCTAGGGTGATCAGGTGACGGGGTAACTGGGTCACTAAGATGAGTGTTTCTACTCCAATAATTGACAGTTTCAAGTTCTAGGTCATCACCTCCAGTTCGGGATCAAGCTGTTGATCCCCTGAGGGTATCCAAGGGGTACATAAGCTAAACCTTGATCTTGATTCATCATTTAAAACAAGTACAATAATATTTATTGTTTTGTATAATTAACAATATTATCCAAATACAGAAATATATAATATTTTGAAAAGATATCATCTAGGTGTGTGACCCAGTGTCGGCAGTGTAGTATCCGTTAGATTGTTAGACATCCCCTTGGATCGGCCCAGACCTGGAGACTTATTAGTATTTCAGCGAGGCAATTAAATGAATGAACACCGTCTCGGAGTCTCAGATTTAAAAAGGTAAACAACTTTATTTACATTCAACGAACATGAACCAGGGGCACCATGGGGCACGCAGGTGAGCGAACACTCAACTGGGAACACGTAGTGGCGACGATGACAACGGTTCTGGTGATGGCGGACGTGGGGACAGTGGCGATTAATGATGAATAATGATGTGTCTCAGGCTCCGGCTCAAGCTTTCGGTTTGTCCGTGTCGGTGCTGCCCAGGTTTTTCAGTGATTGCTCAAACTCCACAGAGTCCACTTGACGCCTGCCGATCTCGTGGGGCGGCGGTCCAATCAGTTCCACGACCTCGTCATAGTCTAGGGTTTCCTTCTCCAGCAGAGCCTCGGCCAGCTGAAAGGGAAAGAGACGGGGTGAGTATGTATGTATGAACGATAGAGCGATAATACGTCCAACAATAGTAGTGGAGTTCGATATACTGGGTATAACCGGTATAACTAATTCAGATCAGATGTAATGCTGCACATGCTAATGGTAACAAGTGCCATAAATTACAAAATTTAAATAAAACGGAATATAACTAGATACCGTTTCCACATTTCTAGAGGAAAACACTGCAAACAAAGCACTCACCTTTTCCAGTTTATCGCGATTTTCTGTGAGAATTAACTCTGTTGCCTGATAGGCGCTGGCCACCGTATGGCGCGCCTCGTTATCTATCATGCTCTCCATGGCCCTCGAGAAGGGCTTCTTGCCGCCACCGGCTCCCAGCGAGCCACCATTCTCCGACTCGTCAGCATCCCGTACGTAGATGGGACCCAGGCTCGAATTCATGCCAAATTTTTTGATCTGCGCATACGCAATCTTGGTAACCTTTTCCAGATCGTTCTGAGCACCAGTGGTGATGCGGTTAAAGATCAGATTCTCCGCCGCCCGGCCCCCCAGGGCCATGCACATCTTGTCGAAGAGCTCCTCCTTGCTGTACAGATGCTGTTCGCTGGGCGTGTACTGGGCAAAGCCCAGAGCCAGACTTGTCCGCGGAACAATGGTCACCTTCAGCAAGATGTCAGAGTTGGGCAGCATCCAGCCAACTAGCGCGTGTCCGGACTCATGGTACGCAATCACCTTCCGCTCGGTCAAGGAAAGAGCATGCGATCGCTTCTCTGTGCCACCTGGAACATACCATTTGGTAAGTCATGAAACGTAGAAGCTACCACATGGTCACCTACCAACCAGCCGCTCAACGGCATACTCCAGATTTTTGCTGCTCACTTCCTTCTGGGTGTTGCGGGCGGCGTGAAGAGCTGCCTCATTGCATACATTAGCAATATCTGCTCCAGAGAATCCCGGGGTAAGGCGTGCCAAACGCTGGGAAAAGGTGTGTGGCGCTTGTTCCAACTTAACTGTAGACAGATGCTTCTCGAAGATCTCCTTGCGCTCCTGCAGGGTGGGCAGGTCGATGAGGATGTGTCTGTCGAAGCGCCCAGGTCTCAATAGAGCCTAAATGGGAGAACATGATGTGTATTCCAAGGAATAAAAGCCTTAAAACGGCTTACCTTGTCCAAAATATCAGCACGATTCGTGCTGGCCAGCATGAGGACTCCCTCCTTGGTGGCCATGCCGTCCATCTCGACCAGCAGCTGGTTCAGCGTCTGCTCCGATTCGCCGGAGCTGCCCTGGCCCATGCTTTCGGTCCCTGATCGTTGACGTCCAATGGCGTCGATTTCGTCAATGTAGATAATACAGGGCGCCCGTTTCTTGCCCTCCTTGAAGAGATCCCGAACTCGGGCCGCCCCCAGACCTCCAATCATCTCAATAAACTCCGAGCCGTTCATGCTCAAGAACGGTACTTGGGCCTCGGTGGCAACCGCCTTGGCCAGGAGCGTCTTTCCGCAGCCAGGCGGACCTAGAAGCAGGGCACCACGTGGGACTTTGGCTCCCAGACGCTGGTACTTCTCTGGGGACTTCAGATAGTCCACAAACTCCTTCACCTCCTGCTTGGCTTCGCTCAAGCCAGCAACATCACGGAAGAGAACACCCCGTCCTCCGTCAAAGGGATCCACTAGCGTGAACTTGGCACGGCCCATTTGGTTCTAATTGGAAAGGTATGGGATAAGTCATTTTACAAAAATTGAAGACCCAAATGGTCTGCTTACGAAGGAGTCCATGCTGAGGGGGCTCTTCATGCTCTTCATGCGGGTGGCTATGGACATCAGCAGGGCACAGATGAGCAGTAGCATGAGAATGCGGCCAGTAGTGTCTGTCTGGCGGTCGTAGGTCACTGGAACGCCATCGGTAATGCCCAGCCGCTTTTCAACTTCTCGCAGCTTCTCCTCGAACTTGTTGGCATCGGCCACCGCCATGTGGAAGATGTTAGAGGTCACCTTTCGGCCCTTAATCACAGCCCCTTCGTGCAGAATAATGGTAACCATTTCCATGTCTGGACGAATGATCAGTTCCTTAACCTCGCCCACTGCTAGCATGTGGTGAACGAATTCGTTCCAGGACACATAGCGTGTGGAGCCCTGGAAGGTGGCAAAATGTTTTAATCATTGTTTCTGACCTCCTACTTACAGAACATTTACCTCGGGTCGCTCAGAGCGCGGAGTTATAAGCAAGGAGAAGAAGGCCACAAACATGTAGATGGTGAAGAGCCACAGAACGGCTTTGGTTAGGACAGACCTCATCTTTTCTTCATTCTCGTTATTGTTCTTATTGGGATCTTCACCGTCACTGCTACTGCTGCTGGGGTCGGAACTGGAGCTTGCGGTGCTGGGGGACTGTTCCCCTGCATCTTTGCTGCTTTTTTCCTTATTGTCTGACGCTTCCTTTTCGGGTTGCTTCTCGACCGCTTCCTCCTTGGACTTTGCCTTGTCTGAAGACTCTTTGGCTCCGTCTTTGGACGATTTACCCGAGTTGGAGCTCATGCAGCGTAGATGCATATGTCGCACCTCTTGCGGCGTTAGCTGCAGGGATCTGGCTATCACGCCCACTATTGCCTTATACTCTGCCTGCAGCTGACGAATCTGTGGGTGAACCCATTGGATGTCTGCCTTTAGAATATGTGTCCCAATTGGCTTACCTGTCGCCGGCTGAGCGGCAGAAACGAGAGCTCCCCCCTACTGGTTACTGGAGGCGGACAAGTCTCTGATGCGCTTCGAATCTGGGCCATCTGTTGGCGGCCACGCTGCAGCACTTGCCGCACATGCCGCAGCCCCTTCAACATATTTGGTGTTTCCGATTCCCTTGCCGGCGAATAGCCTCCGAAATCCGCTACGAATACGTAACTTAGGGTTCTTTGCTTGAAATTGCGGCGGCGGCGCAGCGTTGCCGGATGGTCACAAATCAGCTGTTTTGGTTTTTAGTTTTCCCAAATATATATTTTTTTGTTCAGCAGTCGAATTTTTAATTACAATTCAATTTTGTATTGTTTTCTAAATGAACGCAAAGCCTGCGCCGGTGCAAAGTTTTAAAATCTACCAATTAAATCTATTTTTTTGTGAAATGTTGCAGCCCTTCGATCGGAGACTATCGGTTAGTGGTGGGTAAGAAACCCGCTAAGCTTTTTTTCAAAACCAAAATTTTTCTAAAATAAAATACGTTATTTTCAGAAGATTCGTCTATCCACTGAGCTTAAGCCGCGTTCAGCTGTCCTGTTGGAGTGGAAAGTGCTGTCGGAGATCACCGGATGCTCACCAACCACCAGGTCCAAAGGAAAAAGGTAAGAAATAAACACTTTTTAATTTTAAAATACAATCGTTTCTTTGACTAACAAACTTTTTTTGCCGCAGCCCAAGCGGTGATTTTGGAACGCCGCTCTCTGGAGCTACTTTAGCGTTCTATCCCTCCGGATACAAATATTACTTCCTACTACAATATATAATAATAATGTCACTGAATTGAGTAGCTAATTTGTTAAAAGTTGTTCTGTTCATTGAATAATGGCATTCATGACCGCACCGCGCTCAGTAATTGTTGTTAACGGGTCCGTCGAAGGGGCCCATGCTCTCGCCAAAGTCCTGCATCTCCTCCTCCGCATTTTCCTCCAGCTCGTCGCCCAGATTATCCTGCTCCGGGCAGTTTCGACAACGGCTTTCGTTTACACCGTAGTTTATGCACGTAGATCCCACGCATTCGCAGCAGCCATCGTGGAACCATCTAAATTAGAGACAAATATTTATATTATGACAAAGTCCAGACATCTGGGAAGGATTATGGGACTACCTCGTGCTGCTGGCGCCTGTGGATTTGCAGCTGTGCCGACATTTGTTCCACGAAACGCACTGATTCAGATATATAACCGTGCAGTTTACTGTCACTATGTTGTTTCGCTCCTGGATAGCCTCATCCAGGTTCTTGTCATTAGTTCCTAAATGGAGACAAGGGTTAGAAAAAGGATCTCAAGAGCTCGCTAGTTTCCTACTTACTTAGGAAATAATTGCCATCCTTTTCCAGTTTGGGACCTTTCAAGTACTTGTCAAAGTCCACTTGAAACGTGAAGACATCCCAATTGTAACCGTAGTTGTCATTTTCGTCCAAAGTGGCAACGGCATTGAAGAGTTCCGGAACTCCATCGAATTCCTCCACGTGCGACTTCTTCGAAAGCGAATTACGCGTGTCATTGGGCTTTGGGCAGAGTTCTAGGATAACAAAATAAATAACCATTATTGATTTATCGACAATTGTTTACTTAAGTAATGATACATTCTGGGCCAGTGATCCACAGAAGCAAGGGGCAGCACTATGTGAACTGTGCCAAATGTTTGTTTACATTTTTTGAAAATTTGTTTTCTCAGTAATCATAAAATGTCAGGCAATCGGGGGACTTTTGTTTATATTCTTTGGAATGATGTTAACAAGATTCTAAAACGTCACCATTTAAGATTGGTTTATTGAACCTGGTTTTAGGTTCTGGTTTTAGAAATGAAAAGAGAGATCTTTCTCTATGTGGCTAGCCAAGCTTAAGTTAAATAAGCCCAGTTTGTAATGTAAGGGTTAAAGTCAAGGGCCGTTTAAGCCTGCTATCGATAGCCGATAACTAGTTGGCACATCACAAACTCCCCCCTCCACCTACACACACACACATACCCAACCAAAACGAGATGGAATACATTTGACAACAACAAAAACAAAGCCCCATCACATCATCACCACAGCTATGGGCACCATATATTATTCATTCCGGGGGCCACCCCACCACCCACTTGCAGTGCCTTCCGTTGAGGGAGGGGGGATGTTAGGGGAAGAGGGATGAAGATCGCTTACCCACACAACTGCAGCATTCCTCGTAGTTCTTGCCCAGGCACTTGAGGCACTCCTTGCAGCAGGAACAGTTCTTTAGCTCGCACTTGCAGCTCTGGGTGAGCATGCACTTGGAGACGATGGAGGCGCAGACGACCTCATTGCAGGACTCGACGGTGCCATAGAGAAAGACCAGTCCCAGGACCAGGAAGGCACTCAACGTCACTGAGCGCCAAATTTCCATGGTGGCGGATATGCGGGGGCAGAGCAGGCGATTGGAATGTTCAGATACTATATAGCCTCTTAGCTATATATCTGCAGCCAATTTGTACAAAACAAAACAAATGGGAGGGCACAGGCACACACGACGCACTCACCACTAAAAACTCTTGTAAATGTTTTTTTTTTCTATATTCTTTCTATATTTTCTTTTTTTTTATTTTTATTGGCCTATGAATATTTATACATATATATATATATTACGATCGGGCGATCGATCAAAGCAACGACAACAACAACTGGCGAACACTAGCGATCGGATCGGAGCGGATGCTGCCGCGTCTCGATGTTTTTGTTGCTATTGGTAGGGCATAACTGTCGTCGTCGCTCCAAGCCAAGTTAACAGGCTAGACAACACGTCCACCAATACAGTGGTACTTAAGCCCGAACACACACGGAAATCCGAAGCGCAGGAGTGAAAGAGAGAAGACAACAAAATAACAAAAAAACAAAATACAAAAAAAAAAACAACAAAATGAAACAGTGTCTTAGACGTAAACACGTTACGAAGCTGTGTGTCGCGTCAAAGATTGTTGACAATTCCGGTACGCGATCGATCGAATCTTAGAATCGGGGTGGATCGTTGGATCGCTCGCTGGATCGGTAGATCGGTGGATCGGTGGATCGGGATCGAGCGCACGCGTACGTTAACTGATCAACTCTCGAATAGGGGAGCCACAACAGTGGGCAATACGCACACATACATACGAAGGCATGAAGATCAAATGGCTAGAGATGGCCAGAGCTGTTTGCCTAGCGGCGCAGAAAGTCTTCAAAATATATACCTTTCTTCCATTTGGCTAAGATTATTGGAATTTGATCATATTATTTTTAAGATACAATATTAGAGATACAAAATGTTAAGATTTAGATACATTTATCGGATACACCCATTCCTAGCTCGCATAACTCCTCCCTGTAACAGTCTGGCAGCACTGGCTACGACACAACAACAATATACCCAGACGTAAACATTAGAATGCAAAAGTAACATTTCCGAAATGTTTATGTTCCGGAACTGTGCGGTTCTGCTGGTGATTGGCTCAGCCTGCTGCTTCATCTTTGGCCTGTTCAACCTGCACGCGGAGGTGGAGCCAAATGCCTGCCGAATGACTTATATGTTCGGCGCACCCATGTATGCGGTAAGTTCTCCAAGGAGGTTTCTGCTTAAAAATCTCAATTTTATCTTGACTTTCAGAGGGTGCAAGTCGAGGGTGGAGACCATTACCCCAATTATGGACTATATTATTACTACGAAGGCGTAAAACAGCCACTGGACCCTCTGAAAAGTCGGATGACGGGTGCGCCGGTTATTTTTGTGCCCGGAAATGCCGGCTCCTACAAGCAAGTGCGTTCCTTGGGTTCTGTGGCTCTGCGTAAGGGACGGGACAACGATGCAGGCATCCACCTGGACTACTACACCATCGACTACGACGAGGAGCTGTCCGCCCTGTACGGCGGCTACCTCCCACGCCAGCAGAACTTCCTCAAGCTCTGTATTCGCACGATTCTGTCGATCTACGAGGGACGTGCGGATAAGCCGAGCATCGTACTGATTGGACACTCCATGGGCGGCAAGCTTGCCCAGTCAGTGCTTACCGATCCGGAGATTGGCCAGCACATAAACACAATCATCAGCATCTCCACGCCGCTAGATCAGCCAGTGCTGAATCTAGACTCGGAATTGGAGGCCTTCTACTGGCAAACGGACACGGCGCTGGATAAGGTGCGTACCGCCACCGTGCCCACAAGCACCACCAATGTGTGCGATAGCCTGCACCAGAAGCCGCCAAGCGTCCAGCGAATGGCCAACCAGGAGAGCTCGGCGCGACTGGACAACGTGCTGCTGATTTCCACTGGCGGTGGCAACAGGGATCTTCTGGTTCGTCCTGGCCTGACAAGCTCCCGCTTCAACGATCTGCATGCCATGACCTCGGCCATTCCGCGCGTAAGTCTCAGCTGTGATCACCTGTCCGCCGTGTGGTGCCTGCAGTTCATGCAGGCCATCAACCGCTTCCTCTTCCGCATGGCTCACCTGCGCGATGATCGCTCCTCGGTGGTTTTTGGCACCAACAAGCAGCGCAATCTGCAGTCGGCCCTGCACAGCTTTGTGGTGAGTATACAGGACCCTCCGAAATGCATATTCTAATCCGATCCTTTAGAAACCACGCAGGCGCCAGCAAAGCTATAGCCGGCTGGGCTTCAATAGCGGTAGTTGGCACGAGGAGCGCCGCCTAGTCATCAACAAGTACTTTGCCAATGGCCTTAAGGGCACCTACTTGGAGCTAATTAGCCTGCACCGTCAGGAGCGCTACAAAAAGATGGCCATAGAGGCCCTCAACGTGGATGATGCCGACTGGCTCTTTGGCTGCTCGGCGGAGAAACACGATGGGACGGGCCACCTCTACTGGTAAGTGATTGGACTGGAGCCCAATCCGCAATCTGTAAGCCCTATCCTTGCAGCGATAAAGTCACCTCACTGATGCATCTCGTCCAACGACTGCCCAACGAAGACCGGGATCCGCGAAGCGTGGCTATTCTGGATTTGCACAATCTACGTCGGACCTACCTGGAGTGGACGCATGTGGTGGTCCGACTGCCGCCTGGCAATCGTCGCATTGGATACAACCTAGACATCTATGATCCAAAGGATCGTATAATGGACATAAAGATGCCCCGCTGGTACACAATGGCAAAGTTGCCCTTGGTGAACGAGACGCTGCAGGGCACACTACACCTCCGACTGCGTATCTCCGGGCTGCTGGATCCGTATCAGAGTCTACGGATAAACGTGGAGCCATTGCAGTGCCTACAGCCGGAGTACCGTGTCACGGCTCGGCTGTGTGTCCCTTGGGCTGCCGGATTCGAGCGATTCCAGATACTCAAGTAAGTACACTCCCATACCGGAAGCTCCTGGATCTAATCCTGACTCTCCCAACAGGTCTGCCGATCAGAAGCCGCAGCTCTTCGCTAATGTGCCCACCCTGGTGCCGAGGCATTACAATACCACGCTGAATCCCGTAACCCTCGACCTGTATCTGGACCCCATTTGTCGGTATCGCATTAGGTAGGTTGTTTCTTTCTAATCTGTATGTCTGCCTCGCTCTAATTGGTGTCTCCACAGCTATGAGTACTCCTATACCTCGGCCTTATCTCGTCTGGTGCTGGAGTTCTATGGCTGGCTTCCGGCTCACTTTGCCTGCGTGCTGCTTATTGTGCTGCGCAAGCAGGTGGAGACCTTCCACGAGGTGGGCACCTTCCGGAGCCTACGTCCCTACGTTGGGTACTTGCAGTATACTTCCCTCTTCGTAGTCACAGGTAAGTGGTAGTAGAATAGATCACATCCTCATCGTTGTAAGTATCTGCAAGAGGTACCCCTTAAAAATGACCCATTTCCGGGACCCCCCATTTTGCTCCCTTCCGATGATCATAACTTTTACAATTTTAATCCGATCTGGAAAAGGTATATCTTTCTATGATCAGGACTACGAGTAGCTTAATCCCTCATTTAAAACCTTTCAATTGGATGGTTTTCATTTTTTTCGAATTTTTCCAAGGGGTACCCCTTAAAAATGACCCATTTTTGGGACCCCCCATTTTGCTCCCTACAATCTATGATTTTCTCTCTTTCTTGGCAGCCTGCCGCCTGCTGAAAAAGCTTATCCTCACCAGCGGCTTCTTGCCAGAGCCTGAGCCTCTAGACTACAGCATCAATGTGTCCATCATCATCCACTGTGCCGCGATAGCCCTGTCGCTGATAGCCACCCTGGCCACTTGGCTGGCCCTGACGCTCTACGGGAACGCCTTCTACCGACTGGCCCTGCGCCTCACCACCCTTTCCCAGACCACCTCCAATGTGATCGTCTCGATTGTCACCCACTTGCCCATCACGTACGGCGTCCTGACAATCGCTACAGCCATGGGAACCTGCAGCGGAGTGGGTCTGCTCCTGGCATTCATCTTCTACTTCCTGATGCTGTCGAATGCCTACAAGGATTACCTGGAGGACTTCTTGTGGCAGAAGGCGGCCAACCTGGTGAAGGGTAAACTCAAACCCTCAGCTCCAGTTAAGGCTGTTAAGCCAGAAGACGCTTCCAGTGAGGAGGAGGAGGGCCAAGAGGATAAGAACCTGATTGCGGCCAATGAAGATGAAGCGGAGGAGGAGGAACCGGAGCCATGTGTCGGCCTGCAGAACTTCTCCTTCCATGTCACCCTGCTGCTGATGCTGCTCATACAGCTCCTACTGAATGCTCCGACTACCTTGGCCTGGCTGCGCAGTCGACAGTGAGTATAGATCTTGTCTTATATAGATCCAGTCTGGAACTAATGTTCTTTCTACACCTTTAGTCATGGAATTGTTCTGCCCGATCCGGGCTTGTATCCCAGTATTGTGGTCTTGGCTTCCCTTAGCCTGCTCCTCCAGCTGCGAGCACCACAGAAATGGTTTGTTTGGAGCAGACTTTTCTAGGCAATCCTTTGTAATAAATTCCATTTGCAGTGCCGGCTACTGGGTGCTGTCCATTGTCTTCTACTTCCTCGCCGGCGTGGTTCTACTGTACTGTCAGGCGGCCGTCTACCGGATCAACTTTGTCTTTGCAGGAGCCTTTGCCCTGCTGGCCGCCCACCAAACTCTCTGGATGTTGATACGCCGCCTGTCCTAAGAGCCTTCTTTCACCTTCTTGGATTTGTTTGTTTATTTCTGTATTAGTTGATGTTTGTTTAGACCGAGTGTGGGCATTGCGTAAGTGATCTTAATCGGTCCTAGCGGGAAGTCCAAACGACGACGGAGCCGGACTAGGCGTAGTCGCTGTGGCGCATTACATAGTAAATTGTTTTTACGCCTGCCGCCGGCTATTTTGGACATCCCTGGACTGCTATAGCCATCGGGTGGCTGCGGCACGTCAATCTCCATTTGGGGGCAATGTGTGAAAATGTCCATAAATGTCAGCCACTGTCGGTTCGTTACACTCTATGCCCCAGACTCGGTACTTTCTTTTAGCCAAAGACATAATCGTAGAAGTTTTCAGTGTAGGCTTTCTAGATTAGCATATTTTTGTATTCCCATTAACTTAAGTCACCACTGATTGTATATTTTGTAAAATATTTGTTATCATTGTTTACACTTTACTAACTGATTTTATTTTTTGTCCAAGTCATGCGGTAGTACTGCCTCCCTGTGAAATAGCATATAGCCTTAAACGAACCCAACTGCCACTAGTAACAATCAGTACTTCTTTGTTTTGGATAGTCCTTTTGACTTTTGACTAGTCCTAACCACTTTTTTTTATATACTTTTTTACCTTGCGTATAGAAATAAAGCAATAAAATATCCCCGATTTGTTGGCCAGTGTACTTGCAAGGCAGAGGAACGCGTAAATAATTTGAAATTCATCGAGTACGTGCCAATTTCGCCCACAAGGAGACCGGGACTGGCTGCACCACCCAGCTGGGATCCAGTTTCGATCCATCAACCGGCCCATCAACTTAATGTCTCATTTGGCGGCGTGTGGCATGTGTCGCTTGCGGCTGTCGCTTGCGGCTGTCGCTTGCGGCAGACGTGGATCTGGATATCGAGTCACTGGGTGAGGCAGCTACAACACCCCCGGGAGCTGTATTTGGGAGCGATGTTTACCTAGTCAGTAGCCAAACATGCCTGTCCCCCCGATAAGGACATTAAATATTGCACACCCATGTGCATTTAGATTATACACATATTCATAATGGATTCCATTCGCGACCAGATCGGCCGTCCAATTTGGCGTTTGTGGTGATATAAGCAAATGGCGATTCGATGTCGGCCTGCCGAAATAAATTTCCTTTAATTTGACATTTAATCCCTGCCGATATAAATCAAAGGAGAGACGGCTTTCAACGAAGTGCCGAAAGATTTTCCGCCACAAATCAGTTAATTAATAAGGATTGGTTATGTAAAATCAACTGATAAGAGATTGTAATGGAGTGTGAAGTGTTTTCATGGATCCAGTCGGGTTTTTTGATGGAAACTAGGTTAGCTGGAATTTCTAAAGATTTTTAAGATGGGCTTTTAATCATTTATTTATGTTATATGACCCCAAACATGGGTAGTAGTACATGGGTTTCTAATCTCTGGTATCTGATTGAAATCATAGATCTGAAACTATAGATCTGATAACTATAGATCTTGAGTTATAGATTTGAAATTTGGATCTTTGAAAAGATCGTAAACTAAAGATATTAATGTATAGATCTGAAAACCATAGATTTAAACTATAGATTTTAAAATATAGATCTTAAACCATAGATCATCCTAAACCTGTGTATCTCGATCTATAAGATCTTAAACTATAGATCTGATAACTATAGATCTTGAGTTATAGATTTGAAATTATAGATCTTAAACTACAGATAATAATCTATAGATCGACTATCGATTCGAATCTATGGATCTGAAAAGTATAGATCTGAACTATAGACTATAAAATATAGATCTTAAACCATAGATCAACTATAATGGTTCAACAACTATAGATCTTAATCTATAAGATCTTAAGCTATAGATCTGAAAACTATAGATTTAAACTATAGATTTTAAAATATAGATCTTAAACTATAGATTATCCTAAACCTGTATATCTGAATCTATAAGATCCTAAACTATAGATCTTAAACTAACAGATAACAGATCTTAGATTATAGATCTTTAACTAAAAATATTAAACTATAGATCTTAAATCATAAATCAACTATTATTGCTCTGAAACTATAGATCTGCATCTATAAGGTCTAAAACTATAGATCTGGAAATTATTGATCTTAAACAACAGACCTGAGACTATGTTAGTTTAAGCTTCAAAGTATAGATCCGAAACTAAGGACTATCCATTTGAATCTATAGATCTTAAATTATAGATCTTTAACTAAAAGTCTTAAACTATAGATCTTAAATTATATATCTTTAAATCTTAAATCATAGATCAACTATTATAGCTCTGAAACTATAGATCTGTATCTATAAGATCTAAAACTATTGATCAATGAACCTAAAACTTTAAAACCAAAACTTAATCCTTTCCCACTTCCTGATAGCCCATCTCCTCATATCATTCCCTCCTTCCCACAAAGTCATAAAACCATGAATATTTTAGTTTGTTAAAATATTTTATTTTCAAGTTAAACACATAGTAAAAAAAAAAAACAAATCCGACTTGTTAACAATACATGGCATTCCACATACACCTGCTCATATACATAACTATAACTTTGTACAGATCGAGCTTAGAGCTTGAAGTAGTATTAACGACTTGGAGGATAAATGAAGGACTTCGACCCACAGGGACTCTCACTGCCAGTAGGCGTTCACCAGCTGCACGGGACCCGGAAGATTGGCCATCGGATACTGGGGAGGAGCCGACATCACATCCAGGCTGGAGGCGAGAGAGAAATTATCAAAGGATTAAGATGCTGCAACAGAAATACCCACCGCATGGAGTCCGTGTCGCGGTAGTAGCGAGGTCTGGGAGCCACATAGTTGCCCGATGCAAAGCTGCGAGGATTGGCCACCGGAAAACGGATGGCGGACGGGGCGCGTCCTCCGATCCTTGCCCTGGCCCGCGAACGACCGGAACGGGCAGTGGCAGCTGCTGCTCCGGCTGCCGCTGCTCCTCCACCACCTGCTGCGGCTGCGGCTCCGGCAGCTGCTACTCCGCCTCCGCCCAGATTGTTCAGAGCAATGCCTCCGCCGATGCCCAAGCCGGCCAGGCCCAAGTTACCGAGTCCTCCGGGCGCTGCGCCGGGACCCGGCTGCTGCCACATGGCCGCCAGCTGGATGGGCACGAGAGCGGGCAGAGAAACGGTGACCGGGACACCGGGCGGCGGGCCAAGTGGTGGTGCCGGAGCAGCTGGTGCCTCTGGCTCGGGCTCATCCTCGTCCTCCTCTGGCGGTGGTGGTGGTGGTGGCGGAGCCGGTGTAGTCTCTGGCTCTGGTTCTTCCTCCGGCTCGGGAGCCGGCGTTGTGGGCCTTTCCACATCCTTCCAGGCGGAGAGCAGAGCCAGTAGCTCGTCCTTGGTCACGTGCGGACTGGAGGAGGGCGGCAGGTGACCGAAGCCGAAGCTGGGACCGCTCCAGGGTCCGTGGATCGGACCGATGGCATGGGGCGGCGGACCGAAGAGCGACCGCTGTGGTCGTGGCGGTGCGGGACCGTGAAGGAACTGGCCGCTGGCCACGTGCAGGAACAGGAGCAGGAGGCAGTGGATGCTACTCGGATAACCAGCCATCGTTAGCGAAGCGCGATTTGTATCTGTGGGATTAAGAGGCTGGACTGTCTCTTATATATGCCTGGGATCTGGGTTAACAATTGGCTGAGGCTCTGGAACTGGAACCGGCCTGGACTACAGTGCAGCAGGCCGGAAGCATCTGGTTCGGGACTTGCCGAAGCGCTTGAGGATCCTCATGGCGGGGGGGAGTCTCCATCGGCATTGGCATTTGGTTAACTGGTTCAATCCCATACCCATACCCATTCCCATTCCAACTCGAACTCCAACTCCAATTTCGAATACGAATCGCTATTTACGCATTTCAGTTAGTGGCTAGGAAGCGTGAACCATTTATGGTTGGCATTGCATCACATGGACACCGCCACTATCTATGCACTGGATGACCGGACCAGACCAGACCAGGTCGAAGCCAAGCCAAATGAAAATGAAAACGAAAACGATGTGAAAAGTGAAAAAACGCGGGCAGATGAAAACTGGTTATCCTCCAATCCAATCCAATCCTATTCGATCACGGTGTGTATAGCACATGGTGCATGCTTTATGGGGTATCTGCGAAGAAAGAAAGACATCCCAATCCAATCCAATCCAATCCGATCCAAAGATGTGTGTTAACGTTTTTTTTTTGTTTGTTATCTGCCGACAAACGATGGCAAGCTGGAATCTATGCCAAACCAACATTGCGTATGAGTGATGCATTTTACCATTTAATTCAATTATGAAAACAAAACACATCCATCCACAGCTAGTACTGGCTTTTATTCATTCAGGAAACATGTCGTCAAGGGGTATGTAGTATTCATTTAATCAAAAGTTTCCACCGAGCAGGTCCAAGACTTTTTGTCCTCGTGGAACTGGATGAGCACCAGTTCATAGGTGGCCACAGTCCCGGCCATCTGCAATCAAATCCAGCACTTTAGACCCGAAGGATCTCCAAACTATAACCTTAATTACCGCCAGAAAGAGTCGCCGGGTCACATTGAAGAACTTGGCGCCGGTGAGGGCCACCTTATCGCTGGCCAGTTCGGCGGCGAAGCGGGTAACCTCCGGCTGATGATACGCCTCCGAGGGGATCAGTCGCAGGAGCTGCAGCGGCTCCCTGGCCTGGTCGTTGATGGCGGAAACCAGAAGCAGGACCATGGACGACCTACTCAGGAGGAAGCAGAGTGAGTAGTAGAAGTAGACGGCATGAGCGGAGGAGGGCATGGTGCTGGAGGATAAACAAATATTGAAACTCAATTAATCCTTCAGGAATTCGTACTCACTTGATACTCTTGAGGAGCTGCAGACATATGAAGTAGAGGTTACTGCCAAAGGAGATCAGCATAATGCCCGATATGGCATCGTCCACCTCCCGTATGAGCTCCACAATGGATCGATAGAGAGTCCGGGACCAGGTCCAATACTCCTCGGGCATTGGCTGCCAAATGTTGACCATAAAGTGGCAGGATATGGAGGTTTCTTTTTTTTAGAACTCACGTGTCCCACATTGGTCTTCAGACTCCGATTCAGCCTGGCCAGCATCTCGCTGAGGCCCATGCCGATGATCATCAGGAAAATGTCCATGTAGCTCCAGCCGAAGGTGAGCAGGACGTTCTGGAGCTTCCCCAGCCAGCCCAGCCAGTTGGAGTAGGCGAAGACCTCGAAGAGATGCAGGCTGGTGCCGCGCAGATACGATTCCACAGGATCCTTTCGCCGCGGACAGAAGTCGTAGTACACCACGGAAATGATGCTCAGCAGGTGCTCCACTAGAAAGGCTCAAGGAGTTAGTACCTGGCTCGTGCATATCGCGTAAGGTTACCCAACTGAGTGAGAGGGCCAGCAGGAGGAAGGCCACCATGCGGATCCGGCGGGCAGGATGGGATCTCTCCAAGTGGCAGCCGTAGCGAGGCAGGCGCTTCTCCACCGCCGCCCAGTGCCGCATAAGTCCGGGCCAGAGATTGGCCAGGTTCAGGAAATGCCATGAAGCTATCAGTATGCTCACATGGAAAACAATGGGTTCTAAGGATGGCCAATCCACACAAGAAAGGATATTAAAGCTCTCCGTTAGGGATATGGAATCGGACTCACCCACACTGCGTACATCCAGGCCACCGTGTGACACCTTCCGAATGCTGAACATCAGATCCAGGGTGGTGGAGCACAAGTAGAGGCAACTGTACCAGAACCGCCAGCTCTTCCGGGTGAAGTGCAGGCTGCGGACCGAGGAGCCGCCGATTCCGAGGACCGGCATCAGGCAGAAACATTGGGCCACCGTCAGTACCGGAGCTACTGCCTCGTGGAAGCTGCCTTTGTGGATGAAACTCTTCCGGGTACCCCGTTCCTGACCAACTGCAAAAGGACAAAGGGTGAGTTACAGAATATTAGAATTATAGATATAACCCACCTCTCCACTGGACATTGCTTCTCTTTATCTGGAGCAGCCACTTCCTGGCGTGGCTTTTCCACCGAAGCATCCAGCGTTTCGAGCGAGTCCTTTCGCCTGCGATTGGCATTCCGTTGGGGGCTTAGTCCTTGAATGAGCCGAGGGCTCCAGGACAGGCGTCGGGTAATGACATTTTAATTGTGCAGCAAATTGCAATAAAACATGCAAATTGCAGCGGAAACAAAATCAATATCAGAACCCAAAAAAAAAAAAACTCAAATATTAAATTAAAATCGGGCAGGAGGACACAAGAGTCCAAGGATAATGGAAATTATTCATTGATAAAATAAAAAAAAAAATTACAAGCTCCAATAAAAATGAAAAAAGTTAATAATTTTAATCAAATAAGCAAATAAGAACCTCAAATGAGGATTCGATTGGTACATTCGAGAACCAAGAGTGGCATTAAACAAACAAATAAATATTAAAAAAAATAAATCATAGGCTCTGAAAAAAAAAATATTTAAAGAATATAAAAGACAAATTATATATTAAAAAACGGTAAAAAATATATATAATATAGAAGAAACCATGAAGACCTTGCGACGGTCCTGATTATGGTAACCGAGCAACCAACAGATCTAAAACTATTGATTTATAAAATAAAATAATACAAAAAAAAACGGGAAAAAGAAACTCAAGACAAATTATATATTAAAACACGGGAATCCAGTAAAAAATATATATAATATAGAAGAAACCATGAAGACCTCCAATAAAAATGAAAAAAAGTTAATAATTTTAATCAAATAAGCAAATAAGAACCTCAAATGAGGATTCGATTGGTACATTCGAGAACCAAGAATGGCATTAAACAAACAAATAAATATTTAAAAAAAAAATAAATAAATCATAGGCTCTGAAGAAAAAATATTTCAAGAATATAAAAGACAAATTATATATTAAAAAACGGGAATCCAGTAAAAAATATATATGGTAGCCGAGCAACCAACGGATCTAAAACTATTGATTTATAAAATAAAATAATACAAAAAAACAGAAAAAAGAAACTCAAGACAAATTATATATTAAAACACGGGAATCCAGTAAAAAATATATATAATATAGAAGAAACCATGAAGACCTTGCGACGGTCCTGATTATGATATCCGAGCAACCAACGGATTTAAAACTATTGATTTATAAAATAAAATAATACAAAAAAAAACGGAAAAAAGAAACTCAAGCGTACAGACGTTTGACTTAAGAGATTTTATTTAACAAAAAAAAAAAATATAATATAAAGAAGGAACCAGCGAAAGACATAAAAGACGCAAGGTAGATCCCATTGCACGAAAATAAATATTTAAAAAATATAAAGGACAAATTATAAAATAAAATAAAATAAAATCCAGTAAAAAATATATATAATATAGAGGAAAGCATAGAGGCCTCGCATCCGATTTGATTGCGACTTCAGAGGGAAGCGACTTTTGCAAGCAAAATTATTGTTTTTAATAAAAAAAAAAAAAAAAAGGAGAAAATCCAACATCAAGCGAGTGCATTACAAGGCAATCGCTGGGAAAAAGTAAAAATAAAATAAAAAAGAAAAGAAAAACTTAAAATAAAGAGGGAGCCCGAGCTGTTCTGCTCGAGGAGTTGACGGCAACTGACGGAAAATAAAGGTTTGCCCGAGGGCCTCAAAAATTTGGTCGAATCACAGCCTACTTTAGTCGTATGGAAACTATCGCCAGCGACTCTGCGATTGATGTGTTCCGTATAAACATTTTACCATATAATTAGCAGGTGAGACAAGCTGCCGGATGAGAAATGGAGGAATTGTTAATTATAGCACGCAACCAAAGCAGATTTAAGCGGAACATAGGAGTAGACGAAACTTTTCAAAAAAAGGCGCCATCTGCTGTCAGAAATCGGCTATCGATAGAACATTCTGCGATGTTGATGATGAATCCCAGCTTACAATCGGTATCGGAGCGGGCATCGAGTTAAAAGAAGGGAGGGGGGGTGAATCGAATCTGGAATGCACGAACCGTAATTCTCTTTTGACTCGCGATCGAAAAAGTTGATCTTGTCCGGCGGGATTAGTTATAAACGAATTATAAAGCTGTGCTGTTAATTGCCAAAGAAAATACGAGCTCCGTGATCAGAGATCTCTCTACTTTAAACCATAAATTCCAACTCGACACTCGAAATTCGCTCAGTGTGTTTGTGCCAACGTCAGAAGGCCAGAAGAGTTGTATTTATTTTTTTTTTATGTTTCTGTTATTTGCTACCTGTTAGAGCCAATAATATTAGTGCGTGATACCAATTTTGAATTTCAAGCAAAATGCTATTCGAAAGTATTTAAAAAACAATCGTTTGAGAATTTATTAAAAACAGAGAACAGAGCGGTCTACAAAACGAGTTCGGGTGAGTTATTGTGTGTTTTGAAACCAGAACCTGGCCAAAAGCCTCAGCCTCCCGGGCTAACTACATTTATTTTTTTTTTTGTTAACAATTGTCAGTGTTTTTTTGTTTTTTTTTTGAACATTTGCGCAAACGCAGAGCAGCCTGAGTCTGTCAGCGTGTGTGTGTGTGTGTGTGATAAAGGAACGGCTGCTTCCAGTGCATCCTCTCTTTGACTTCCAGCTGCTGTGCAACTGCATCCAAAATTCCAATTCCACCCTCTCTTTTAAAAATCAGCAATATGAAGTAGAGAGGGGGGGGAAAAGAACCCAAGGATGCACAGAAAGTATTTGGGGATTCGTTAGTTATTTTTAAACAAAATTTATCTTAAAAAAATGATAAATATTTTGTGGTTTAAAGTCTTTAGATCTTTTGATTTATTTATTTTTTATTAATAAAATTCACTGATTTTTTTCTCTCTCTGTAGAAAATGACATTCTAATAATACCCTTATTACCCTGTAGCCCGCCAAAGTCTTTTGTTTTTATTTACACCGATTTCTTGATTCCTCTTCTGCTACTTCCGATTCTCTCCCCCCTTTCTCCACTCCATAGTTGGCTATATATATATGTATATATATCTTTTTTATACAAATATCATTTACCAAAACATCAGCTGGATGATTCATCCAGTGCCCCTCCTCCATCCTCCACCGCAACAGTTGGCAGCAAAGCGACTCATTCAGCTCAAGTCTCGGCTCAACCCGGACCCGAAACGTTTCATTACAAAACAGCGATTCTTACAAACATATAGTATGCATATGAATATGAATATATATATATATTATACCCCCCCGGACTACCGATAATTCTTATTTGGCCAGTTAGCTTTCGATTAGTCAGCAAAATGACAAAAAAAAAAATGCATTTTATGAAGATTGGATTTTATTTCTTCCAACAGAGGAGGGAATACTATATCATGTGGGTCCTGTGTGGGAAAGTAATTTGCATACCAAGTACATGGCACCCCCCCTTTATAAATATTTTTCTTTACTGATTGATTATTTTTTAAGCTGTCTTCGGTTTCTGTTGATATCCAAAAGAATTTGGAGCGATGGGAAACCGTGACTGATAAACGGATATTTCGATGTAAATATTATTTATTTAATATTGGAACATGGAACTCTTATATGCTTAGCTGTGTCTACACAGGAGGTGGAGGAGGAGGAGGAGGAGGGACCAGAAAGTGGGGGTAGCGCTATCTCTGATATCTGGTGCCATCATCATTGCCAACTGGTTGCCTGCCCCAAGAGGGGGCTAAGAACAATCGGGGGCGATTCAATAGGTTCCACAGTTCTTCTTTCAGAGATTATTATTTATTTTTTGTTTTTTTTTTTGGAACTATCTTTTGATCCCCAAATCCCCGGGAATGTTTCTAGCCACTCAACCGTATCTGTACCATGAGACTTGGAATAATTTTTTTTTTTTTGGGGGTAACATGTATGGGATGATGCTCGGGAGCTCCCCCTTGTCCAAAGAACCCAAGAACCGGAGGAAGACGAGGAGACAACAGTTGCGGTGCGGCTGAAAGAACTGAAACAACAACCGAGCTCTGAACTCTGAAAACAAACACACATGTTGATCATGCATGAAAGCCGCCGCTCCCGCCCCCACCCCCCCTCTCTCGGATCGGATCAGATCCCCCCTTGGCATACATACTCCCTCCATACATATAAGATATATGTATATATATGGTGGCACCCTATGCAGTACACAGTACACCCCTTCTGGTTGGTTTCCCAGAAGAGTAGCACGCACCGGAAATATCGTTAAATGCGTAACAAGGCGCTTTTTAATTTAAAAAAAAAAAAAAACGGAAAAATCCAAATGAAAAGTATTAAATAAATGAAATTGTGTGCATATGCAAAACGGTTGGGCACTCGTTCGCCTTATCACAGCGGGTTCGAAAATAATAATAAAAAAAAAAAGAACCCTGACACCAGCGGGCTGACAAAAAATAATATAAATATGGTATGGAGGAGGCCTAGGGAGCGACGAGGTCCGGCTTTAATTGAAATTTTCATTGATTCTGGGGGGGAAACGGAAAACAAAAATGGGAACGGGAACCATTTGATTGTGCATTAGCAGCATACACTTAAAAAAAAACAGGGGATACTTAAGATCATTAATCTCGGTGATATATAGCATATCATACTATAGAATAGGTACTATACTCTTGGGAGAAGTAGTCTTGGGATTTGGAAAATACTTTTTAAGAAACATATTTTTTTTTGAATATTTTTATAGAGGCTGTTTAAAATGATCTTACTTTTATTTCATATATCATGCAATACTATAGAATAGTATACTATTTTCTACTTAAAACTAGTCTAATGACTTTAATAATCCTCTTTTTGAAAGAGTTTCTTATAGAAAAGTTTTATAAAGGGATGTTTTAAAATCTTCTAACTATTCTAACTATTAACTTCTATGCTATATGATAATACAATACTATACTATACTGAAAAGTAGTCTTATGATTTTAAAAAACTTATTTTTGAAAATCTTTCTAGAGGGTTCCTAGAGGAAGTTTTATGGAGGATGTTTTAAATACTCTAAATTCTCTAACCATTAACTTATATGCCATATATCATATAATATTATTAGAATACTATGTTATTCTATACTATATATCATCCTATACTATATAATACTTAATATATGATACTAAAAAGTAGTCTTGTGGTTTAAAAAATCTTATATTTGAAACCGTTTCCTTAAGGTTTCTAGAGGAAGTTTTAAAGAGGATGTTTAAAATCCTCTAACTTCGCTAACCATTAACTTCTATGCTATATACCATACAATACTATAATACTATGTAACTATGTATATACAATACTATAATACTATATACTATGTTATTCTATGCTATATATCATCCTATACTATAAGAATACTGTACTATATGATACTAAAAAGTAGTCTTATGACTTTAAGAGACTTTCAACCACCATTATTTTAAACACTTTCCTTTATAGAGCCCATTTTAAAGACCAATTCATCCTTACCAATCCTAGCTCCTTTCAACTACCCTGCCTTCGAACTGATAAAATTATTAGAAACTTGCATTTTTTCTTCAAGTGCATGAGTGTGGTGGCATGTCGCAAGACTCATTTTCCATGGCTTTCGCCGGGCTTATCATTTCGAAAAGAAAGGAAAATGAAAATTTAATTGGTCGTAAAAAAGTGCATTAAAGTTATCGCCGGTTGTCCAAAGCGATAGCGTTGAAAACAAGTCTTAAAAAAATATGGTTCTGAAATCCAGAAACGATAAGGAAACCCCCATTAGAAGCGGACTTTTTGAAAAAAAGGAAGTTTCAAGCCCAGAAGTGAAAAAGTGAAGGTGGGAGGGAGGTGATTTGGTTATCATCCTGATAATCCCATAAAGAGACCTAACAAGTTTTTGTAAAAATCACACTGACCTCCCCCCCTGTTATTATTTTTAGGCTGGTTTTTGAGATATACTTTGTATCGTAAAAAATGGGGATCGTCAAACATGTTGGTTATCTAAATAGGAAGTCTTCAGCATACTACTACGAACTTCTTCCGTTTGTCAGTCGCTTTTTTTTTTAAAAAACTCTATAATTGTTTGGAAAATATTAGAGTTTGAACAGGTGTGTTGGTTTCATTCAGGAAACTTGATAGTGCAACTGTCTGACATTCTCAGACTGCGATACTAGCTTTTTAATGAAAGTCGTATTATTTTAGCTGAACGTGACTAATAGGAAAGACCGTGTTATTGAGAAGAAAGCCACGATTGTGAGTCATCCTCACCTGATTCTGCAAGAGACCTGTTTTCAGCCCAACATGGTTTTCCGTTTTCGCATAATTACCATGTTTTCTTTTTTGGGAAAACGATTGCAATCAAAAGAAATGACCGGCTTTCATGCTCCTGTCTGCCTCTGACATTGATCTCCTTCTCCTGCCCCGAATCCTGAATCCTGATTCGATAATTAATAATCTCGTAGCCATCAATCAGCCAGTCGGCGGTGATTTGATAAGTACACTTACCACCATTTCCATATTCAATGCCGCACTGATGAGGAAACTCAAGGAAAACATTTTCAAATATACAAATCGTGACCAAACCGGATCCCTGGACCACTGGACACCACTCTGATCATTATTGGAGGCCTGTTAAGCGGCCAGAAATCGGTTCACATAAATCAAATGTCTCGGATGCGATCATTAACGGTGGGAGTATTTGTATATGTTATATGCAGACTTCCTCGGGGATCTAAATCTGGTTTATGGAGTCTCTGGTATCCAGTGGAGCAAACTGGGCTATTGCATCCGCCAGCCGGCAATTAGTTACCCGCTCCGGCTCCGATCCTGGCACACACACTTTTTATGTGTCAGGCCCCCATTCATTCACAGATTTTCACGCGACTTGCCGATAATATTTCCGTAGCCTGGTGAGGGGGCCTGGGGGCATAGCCTGGAGCTTCTACAGATTCGATTTCTTTGTAAATTAATTTGTAAACATCCGCTAACTAATGTTGATTCCCTTTGTCGCCCGCAGCATGGACACGGACATGATGGACCTGAGCACGGACATGCCAATGGACGCCCCAGCGGCCACGCAGTCCATTTACCCGCATTCCGCGACCCTATTCGCCGCGATCAGTGCCTGTGTCTTTGTTACGGTTGGCGTTCTGGGTGAGTAATCTCCTCCTGCCTACCTACCACCCTCCCTCCCAGTCACCTGGACTAACTGGCAGATGCTTTTTGTGGCAAACAGGTAACCTGATCACGTTGCTGGCGCTGTTGAAGAGCCCCACGATACGGGAGCACGCCACCACCGCCTTTGTCATATCCCTGAGTATCTCGGACCTGCTCTTCTGCTCCTTCAGCCTCCCCCTGACGGCGGTGCGATTCTTTCAGGAGGTGAGTCACCATTTACTCCAGCTCCTTGGAATGTTTACATTGTATTCTAACCGCTTTTTTCAGAGCTGGACCTTCGGCAGTACATTGTGCAAGATCTTTCCGGTAATCTTCTATGGCAACGTGGCCGTCTCCCTGCTCAGTATGGTGGGCATCACTCTGAATAGGTAAGCCTCGGTTGTCATCGCAAATCCGGCTGAGCTGGCTAATCCCCGAATGCGTTCGTAATCCCCTCGACAGATACATACTCATCGCTTGCCACAGCCGCTACTCGCAAATCTACAAGCCCAAGTTCATCACCCTGCAGCTGCTCTTCGTGTGGGCCGTCTCCTTTCTGCTCCTGGTAAGTGCCCCGAAGGTTGGAAGACCCCTCAAGTACTGATCCTTTGATCCCTGATCCCTCACACACAGCTGCCGCCCATTCTGGGTATCTGGGGCGAGATGGGACTCGATGAGGCCACCTTCTCCTGCACGATCCTCAAGAAGGAGGGCAAGTCCATCAAGAAGACACTCTTCCTAATCGGTTTCCTGCTGCCCTGCCTGGTGATCATCGTTTCGTACTCCTGCATCTACATCACGGTGCTGCACCAGAAGAAGAAAATCCGCAGCCACGACAACTTCCAGATCGGCGCCAGCGGAGCGGGCAAGGCTGGCTCCCCCGGCGCTGGGGGATCCTATGTGACCACCACTTGCCCGCGAAAGGCGCGCGAGGACAACCGACTGACCGTGATGATGGTCACCATCTTCCTGTGCTTCCTCGTCTGCTTCCTGCCGCTCATGCTGGCCAATGTGGTGGACGACGAACGCAATACATCGTATCCCTGGCTGCACATCATCGCCTCGGTAATGGCCTGGGCCTCCAGTGTCATCAACCCGATCATCTATGCAGCCAGTAACCGGAATTACAGGTAGGTTCCTCTACATGAAGACCATTCTGATTACTGAGCATCACTCTCTTCACTTTGCAGAGTGGCCTACTATAAGATCTTTGCGCTGCTCAAGTTCTGGGGGGAGCCGTTGTCCCCGATGCCAAGTAGAAACTATCACCAAAGCAAGAACTCCAAGGAGCTGTCGGGCGTCATCCGGAGCACGCCGCTCTTCCACGCTGTGCAGAAGAATAGTATTAACCAAATGTGCCAAACATATTCAGTATGATTCGAGTCGATTTATAGTTCAGATTTGATTCTTTGTATTAGAGCTTGTAATTCATATATTAATTAATTACTTATTACATTTTAATTTATGCATTTGTGGAGAGCCTCCATCAAAGACAAACGAAATAAATACATTAAATTTATGTAGACCAATTGAGAAAGAATAATATCGCTTGTGCTTTTTTTTAATTACGAGGTGTAACTAAAACACAATATTTAAATGCCAAGCTCTAACCAAACTATCTGAAGCTCCGCTGATGGATTGCTTTACATTATTTACCATATACATATGTATGTACTTCTGTGTTGTTATCAGTGCACATTGTTTTCACATTAGCAGAGTTTCAATAAACCATTCGCACACTGAATATGTATGTCCACGTGAAGGCTTCTCTGCCTGTTGCGGGCACTCGCGCCAAAAAAAACACATTTTCATTTTCACTTTAAAAAAAAAGTTTTATTTTTTCTTCGTCTATCGCTGGAGAACTCTTAACGCACACTAGTTAGCTGGGACGCCACGAGGAGACCATTAACTTAGGCCTTCACGGCGAACTTGCGCTGAGGGAAGATGGAGCGCTTGCGGATCTCCTTCAGGGTCTTGCGGTTGGCATCACGGGGCGAGAGTGCCTTGCGGATGGCGCGGGTCTTCTTTTTGCGCAGATCCAGGGGCTTGTACTTCTTGTTCTTGAAGACCTTGCGCAGGTTCTCCTTCTGCTTCTGGTGCATCACGATGTAGACGCGAGCGATGGCCTTGCGGACCACGCGGCTAAAGGGGGGGGAAACAAATTTGGGTAAAATATTTGCTTTGAAGCATAATTCTAAGAAGTACTCACATCTTGGAGAGCTTAGAGGGAGCTCCGCCAGTCACCTTGGCCACACGCAGATTGAGAAGCTCATTCTTGAGCTCATCCAGCTGCTTGGTCAGCTCCTTCTTGTCCTTCGTCCTCAGCTCGGAGCACTTAACCTTCACCTGCGCGGCAAAAAAAGCACAATAAAAGCATTATTATTTTGTAACAGAAATTCGTGCATTTTCCAAACAAACTGCACAGCCAGAAGTCATTACGATAATTCGGTATTCGTTCTACATCGCACACCCACCATTTTGAATGGATATTTATCAACCTAAAATGAAAAACAAACTGTTTAAAAATTATGAAAAAACGTGGAGCAAAATTTTAGCGTTTATACCTCGCCGGAAACGGATAGGGAAAAGAACGTAACAGAGTTGCCAGGCGGCCTAAGAAAAATCCCAACAGAGAAATCGGACTAACGCCAAAAAATCCCATAAAGTATCAATCGGTATCGGTGCCAGTAAATTAAATAAAACAAAAATTACATTAAAACAAACTGATTCTACTGGTCTGGCAGGAAAAGGGAAATTAAACTTAATAATTGTAAGGCTTGCATAATATTTTCATTTTAATTTTATAAAAAAAATACCAGAACGTGCTGAAAAATAAAAAAATATACCAGAACGTGCTGAAAACGCCCGCTGAGTTGAATTAGAGAATATATCGCTAAGTGACATCGCTAACGTGTGAATGTAAACAAACGAACAAGGTGGCAACGCTGCATTAGGTTGCTGATTTTCGCTGTATAAATAATTTGATTCGCAATATTCCTTATCTGTTAGTAAATAGCTAGGTAGATGTACGTAAAGCACACACAACATAAACAGAGTTTCTAAACAACAATGGCAGATCGGGCCATCAAGCTCCTAGTGATCGGAGAAAGCGGAGTGGGCAAGTCCAGGTGAGAGATTCCAGCAACGACCTCAGCAATTGTCCGCTGCGTATATTCTAAATAGCAATCATTGCATCATTGTTTTTCGCTTCCATTGCGCAGTCTGATTCGTCGCTTCGTGGAGAACAAGTTCGACGAGAACCATGACGTCACAATCGGAATGGACTTTAAAAGCAAGGTGATGAACGTGGACGGGATCGACTACAAAGTGGCGCTATGGGACACGGCCGGAGCGGAAAGATTCCGCAGTTTGACCCCGAGCTTCTACCGGAAGGCGTTGGGCGCTATCTTAGTGTACGACATCACCAACAGGGATTCGTTAGTGAAACTAGAGGCATGGCTAGCAGAGCTGGACAGCTACAGTGACAATCCAAACATAGCTATCATTGTGGTGGGCAACAAGATCGACCAGGAGCGAGTTGTGGATCGCGAAGAAGGACGGAAGTTTGCTCGCAAGCACCGAGCCCTGTTTATTGAAACGTCAGCCAAATGCGATCAGTTTGTCAGCGATGTGTTCAAGGACGTTGTTGAGAAGGTAGGACCGGATTCTTTTTTGAAATTTCTGATCCATTTTTAATTTTTTCTTATTTGATTCTCATACTACAGATTGTTTCCTCAGAGTACTTTGGCAACGGAAACGGCTCCGCGAATGGGATGGAAATCGGCGCCAACCAGGATCTGGAAGCGAATGCTTCGACGTGTTACTGTTGATATTTTGATGTTGTGCTTTTGTCAAATTTCTATCATGTATTTATTTAACCGTTTCAATATCATTAGCATAAAGTCTGCCCAACTGCCTAGTTTATATACAATTATTTAAATAATCCTTAGATTGGTATACTATTCCAAAGAGGCAAAACCAGGCGCTTATAAGCCTGATTGGTGTAAGGAGCAGGCTTAAAAGTATTTCAAGCTCAAAAGATTTAGCAAGAATTTCGAAACTCAAAGCCCAACGACATTTGGCCTCTATCTGAACTTTTAATAAACGGATTATTCAATATCTTAGTTAAATTGAATGCGATTGGAAACCTGTTTGGGTTGTTTTCACAAAGGAATTGCGGGTTTTGAATTTTATAATAAGCTTTAAACGCAATGTTCTAATTTTCCAAACAATAATATTTTAATAATATGGCTAACAGTAGAAAAATCGAAAAATGTTATAGCATCCCGATCATACAACCCGAAATACAAAAAATCTCAATCAAAACCTGACAATTAAACTTTGGATCCATTTTTGTAAAATTACAATAGGAAAACCACATGATTAAGGCTGATCATGATCCCCGGGTTTCCGGAGCTTCTCCCTTTTCGAATATTTTCAATACTCCCGATAAGGGTACCCTTTCCCACTATTGCTCCTTCCGATGGCCATAGCTCTGCCGATTTGTATCCGATCAGGATATAAACTACCATGTAGTAATCACGGAACCCAGAAGCTTCTTTCCTCATCCAAATTAGTGCCTAAATATCGTTTTGAAATTTTTCGATTTTTTTCCTAGGGGTTTCCCTACAAAATTGTAGGTTTTCCTATTTTCCCCACTTTTGCTCCTTCCGATGGCCCTAGCTCTGCCAATTCGTATCCGATCAGGAAATAAACTACCATTCAGTAATCAGCGAACCCAGAAGCTACTTTCCTCATCCAAATTAGTGCCTAAATATCGTTTTGAAATTTTTCGAATTTTTTCCCAGGGGTTCCCCTACAAAATTGTGGGTTTTCCTATTTTCCCCACTATTGCTCCTTCCGATGGCCATAGCTCTGCCAATTCGTATCCGATTAGGAAATAAACTACCATTTAGTATTCAGGGAACCCAGAAGCTACTTTCCTCATCCAAATTAGTGCCTAAATATCGTTTTGAAATTTTTCGAATTTTTTCCTAGGGGTTTCCCTACAAAATTGTAGGTTTTCCTATTTTCCCCACTTTTGCTCCTTCCGATGGCCATAGCTCTGCCAATTCGTATCCGATTAGGAAATAAACTACCATTTAGTAATCAGCGAACCCAGAAGCTACTTTCCTCATCCAAATTAGTGCCTAAATATCGTTTTGAAATTTTTCGAATTTTTTCCCAGGGGTTCCCCTACAAAATTGTGGGTTTTCCTATTTTCCCCACTTTTGCTCCTTCCGATGGCCATAGCTCTGCCAATTCGTATCCGATTAGGAAATAAACTACCATTTAGTATTCAGGGAACCCAGAAGCTACTTTCCTCATCCAAATTAGTGCCTAAATATCGTTTTGAAATTTTTCGAATTTTTTCCCAGGGGTTCCCCTACAAAATTGTGGGTTTTCCTATTTTCCCCACTTTTGCTCCTTCCGATGGCCCTAGCTGCGAACCCAGAAGCTACTTTCCTCATCCAAATTAGTGCCTAAATATCGTTTTGAAATTTTTCGAATTTTTTCCCAGGGGTTCCCCTACAAAATTGTGGGTTTTCCTATTTTCCCCACTATTGCTCCTTCCGATGGCCACAGCTCTGCCAATTCGTATCCGATCAGGAAATAAACTACCATTCAGTAATCAGCGAACCCAGAAGCTACTTTCCTCATCCAAATTAGTGCCTAAATATCGTTTTGAAATTTTTCGAATTTTTTTCTAGGGGTTCCCCTACAAAATTGTAGGTTTTCCTATTTTCCCCACTTTTGCTCCTTCCGATGGCCATAGCTCTGCCAATTTGTATCCGATCAGGAAATAAACTACCATTTAGTAATCAGCGAACCCAGAAGCTACTTTCCTCATCCAAATTAGTGCCTAAATATCGTTTTGAAATTTTTCGAATTTTTTCCTAGGGGTTCCCCTACAAAATTGTAGGTTTTCCTATTTTCCCCACTTTTGCTCTTTCCATTGGCCATAGCTCTGCCGATTTGTATCCGATCAGGAAATAAACTACCATTTAGTAATCACGGAACCCAGAAGCTACTTTCCTCGTCCAAATTAGTGCCTAAATATCGTTTTAAAAATTTTCGAATTTTTTCCTAGGGGTTCCCCTACAAAATTGTAGGTTTTCCTATTTTCCCCACTTTTGCTCCTTCCGATGGCCCTAGCTCTGCCAGTTCGTATCCGATCAGGAAATAAACTACCATTCAGTAATCAGCGAACCCAGAAGCTACTTTCCTCATCCAAATTAGTGCCTTAATATCGTTTTGAAATTTTTCGAATTTTTTCCCAGGGGTTCCCCTACAAAATTGTGGGTTTTCCTATTTTCCCCACTATTGCTCCTTCCGATGGCCATAGCTCTGCCGATTTGTATCCGATCAGGAAATAAACTACCATTTAGTAATCACGGAACCCAGAAGCTACTTTCCTCGTCCAAATTAGTGCCTAAATATCGTTTTAAAAATTTTCGAATTTTTTCCTAGGGGTTCCCCTACAAAATTGTAGGTTTCCTATTTTCCCCACTTTTGCTCCTTCCGATGGCCATAGCTCTGCCAATTCGTATCCGATCAGGAAATAAACTACCATTTAGTAATCAGGGAACCCAGAAGCTACTTTCCTCATCCAAATTAGTGCCTAAATATCGTTTTGAAATTTTTCGAATTTTTTCCCAGGGTTTTCCTATTTTCCCCACTTTTGCTCCTTCCGATGGCCATAGCTCTGCCAATTTGTATCCGATCAGGAAATAAACTACCATTTAGTAATCAGCGAACCCAGAAGCTACTTTCCTCATCCAAATTAGTGCCTAAATATCGTTTTGAAATTTTTCGAATTTTTTTCTAGGGGTTCCCCTACAAAATTGTAGGTTTTCCTATTTTCCCCACTTTTGCTGCTTCCGATGGCCCTAGCTCTGCCAATTCGTATCCGATCAGGAAATAAACTACCATTCAGTAATCAGCGAACCCAGAAGCTACTTTCCTCATCCAAATTAGTGCCTAAATATCGTTTTGAAATTTTTCGAATTTTTTTCTAGGGGTTCCCCTACAAAATTGTAGGTTTTCCTATTTTCCCCACTTTTGCTCCTTCCGATGGCCATAGCTCTGCCAATTCGTATCCGATTAGGAAATAAACTACCATTTAGTAATCAGCGAACCCAGAAGCTACTTTCCTCATCCAAATTAGTGCCTAAATATCGTTTTGAAATTTTTCGAATTTTTTTCTAGGGGTTCCCCTACAAAATTGTAGGTTTTCCTATTTTCCCCACTTTTGCTCTTTCCATTGGCCATAGCTCTGCCGATTTGTATCCGATCAGGATATAAACTACCATGTAGTAATCACGGAACCCAGAAGCTTCTTTCCTCATCCAAATTAGTGCCTAAATATCGTTTTGAAATTTTTCGAATTTTTTCCTAGGGGTTTCCCTACAAAATTGTAGGTTTTCCTATTTTCCCCACTTTTGCTCCTTCCGATGTCCATAGCTCTGCCAATTCGTATCCGATTAGGAAATAAACTACCATTTAGTAATCAGCGAACCCAGAAGCTACTTTCCTCATCCAAATTAGTGCCTAAATATCGTTTTGAAATTTTTCGAATTTTTTCCCAGGGGTTCCCCTACAAAATTGTGGGTTTTCCTATTTTCCCCACT